TTTGACTGACACATGTAGGCCATCAATTTCTATACGAATAAACTTGTAACTTTTTTAGAAACACAATTAAATAACAAAACATGAAAACTCACAACAGTGTGATGTCACTGCAACTGTCTGTCTCCTGTATGTTTCCGTACTGGAGAGGCTACTGTTGCAATGATCAGCATTTTAATGGGTGAAATTTTGTGAAAGGGAAAAGTGCCAACGTGTTTTACACACTTGATTGAGGAAGGAGCGTAAACTTGCCAAAAAAATTTAATATTGCAATGATGCAAACTGCATCAGGAAACATACTAAGCCATACTCAGACACCATTACTAACCGCTTATGGAATCTAGTTTTGTCTCATTCCTGAAAGACAAGTGTGACGGAAAACAGGCTAACCTTATTGACTGTGTGACTCATTTTTTAGGCAATCGTACCTGCTGTTATATGAACTACCATACTGAGAAATGCATGTCGACATTTAAGTGGGTCCATTCATATGTTTTTAACAGCCTTTCACATCCGGAGGCATCCATCCTGTCCACTTTGTCACAATTGGCTAATTGAAGATGCCCGGTATGTCACAAGGGCTGGGACTATTCCCTGGTTTTGCTGTTTGACAGAGAACCGTGGGCCACAGACAACACCGTGTTGTGCTGTTGTTTGTTAGTTTCTATGTGATACATTCTGCAAAATCTGGTCAATGCTCAACGGTCACAAGACCAAGAGGAACAGGGAGTTTGTTGTTGTGTTCAATAACACAGCAGCTCTGACAAACAGCGGGTCACTGTTGTTGGAGATAATGACACTGACTCTCATATTCATGTCCAGTTAATGACATGATCTTCCATCAGTCATCTGGGCCAAACAACAAGTCGGCTAGTGCAGCAAAATAACACTATCTATTGGTCATGCTGCTTGTCTGCATCTTTCTGTGGCTAAGATATCATTTTATAATAAAGGTTTAAATTTGTTATAGTGTCGTTTTGTCATTTTGCCAACTGCTTATGGAGATAACATGCTATTAACTTGACTGTGTCCTGGCTGATGAGAGACAAGCTTGTAAATGCAGCAGCTTTGGAAGAAATGCACAATGCATTTTTTTTCCAATGCAGAAACACTTGCTAAGGTCTCTTGAAACAAAGATTCACCAAAATTCACACACACATCAGTTGCCTACATTATTTTTTCCATTGAGCTCCATGAATTATTCCCTATTATTAACAAAAGCCACTTCCCGCAATGAAAGTGAAAAATAATTCTCAAGTTTGTCTCTTAGTCCACGTCAAAATTGTATGGTTTCCTCTTGGTCCATGTTCCATCCATACAGCAAGTTTTGTGGAGATGTGTTAATCCTGCTGAAAAAAAAATAAACCAACAAATGGACAGGGATGAAACTTAATCTTCTTGGCAAAGATATTATCTGCAGTCCCCTCATTATCTTCTCTAGAGATCTTCCACTGAAACTTAACTGTTAAATGTGATAACAAGCTCAGTTTCTCGTTTCAACGACCCAAGGCGAGTGAGAGTGCCACACCTTTAAGTGACCAGTCGGTAGCTTCTGATCCCTTCTTTTCAGTCACATACTGTGTAAACTGTTCCTTTGTTGTTGTCATTTAACTGTGTTTTTGTGCCCACGGGACCTGGGGAACACAAATTTGTTCCACTGTATGATTTACAGACAAGGCTGGAGTGGCATAAATAAACTTGAATCAACTTATCTCACAAACTGTCGTCGTCCACATGAGATATACACTAAACCCCATTTTCGGACATTTTTTCCCCAGAATTCTTTTTGTTGCAATCGTCCACATCATGTAATTGGTTCTGACTTATTAAACTTGAAAGTTAAAAGCACAGCGAGGGGGTGCATTCATGAAGCATCTTTATGTGAACCAAGCTTCGTCACTTCTCCCTTTCTTCAAATTAAAATTCAACATATTTGCACCTACAGCTATGTGCAATACTCAAATGGAACTCAACAGACCACATACCTCCACCAAGGCCCAACAACCAGAAAGACGACAATTTTCCAACATAAACTATAGTATATTGACAAAAGATTTAATATGAACTTTTTTGTTTATCCAGTAAGATTGCATCAAGCCATCTGCAAAAATTGACATAAAAAATAATTTTTTGATCTACAGTATGTGGGAACTCTCTTGTGGACAATTCTCAAGTAAAATGAGGACGTGCAGAATACTAAACACTAAAAAGTTTTGAAAATGTTAAATTACACATCAACATAATTATACAAATATAATACAAACATGGTGAATATGTCCGCCAAGGCTGAAAATTAAAAATACCATATCTCACAATGTTAAAGAAGATTGCTGGATGCACCATAATGGAAAAGGTTATTCCGTGGCCCATACCACATCCTTGCATCAAGTTTCAGGGAAAACTGTGCAGTTGTTTTTGTGCAATCTTGCTTACAAACAAACAAACAAACGTCATATTTTGAATATTCAAGTGGCATTGATTTTTGCATCATCTCTGAGCTGCCAAGAGTTCAATTGTCAAATAGTACGTAAACAGAGATTCTTTCTTCTCCTTCTCTCTGTGTCTCTCTGTCTTTCGTGCACAGATTCCTAGCGTTCCAGCTGACAGTTCAGTCTAACATACGTGTGGAGGGGGGGACATTTTCAAGCGCCATCACACCCTTTAGTGCCAGTGCTCGGGGAACAGGTAAAACCAGCAGGAGTTGAACGGGAACCAAGCCTCTGGGCCACCACACAGGAAGGGATGGGCAACACAATGTGACAGTTTACCTTTAGCCTAAATAAAGTTGGAGTTTTATTTAAGAGACATAATCTTATCTGTTTTGGAGCGTCCCTGTCAAACCTGTTCTTCCACTCAGGTCAGACATTTTGAAAATTCAACCAACAAAATATTTCACGTGAAGCTAAAGCCTCATTTCTTTGAGCTCATGTTCCCATTAATTGAATTGATCTTGGTTTGTTCAACCATCCTCCATCGCTCTGACCTCATCCCCCATATCATCAGTGACGAAGCCAACCAATCACAAACAGGCCAAGTGCACATAGAGAGGTGGAGCCGAGCACTGAAACAGGGTGTGGTCCTGAAACCAGCAAGGTCTGTAGTAGTGCCCTGGAGTTTAAATTGAGTTGAGTGATCACACTCTCATAGTTATCATAGCTGTCCTCACACGTTTACTCACCTCTCTTGCTTTCTGTCTGTCTCCCACAATTTCCTTGAACCTATGAGAGTTTCAGCCTCTGGATTTTTACCAAAAGAAACCTTTTACAGGCAGCTGGAGGCCTCCGCTACCCACACAGTAGCTCTTTTCATGTGTCAGGCCTCCACCTGATCCCTATCACTGGTGCTGCTGAGGCCTGGGATTCTCCGGGTTGGGTGTGCTGCCTGCTCCGGCTGAGCAGGAGTTGAGAGCTGAGGACCTGTTCTCAGCAGGTGAGTCACTTTGTATGAATGTAGCAGCAGAGGTTTTTTTTTACAATTCGAGATGTGTTAACCTCGAGGATCCTTTTGTGTTTGTGCTGCTCCTGTAAAAGACTTCTTATGCTTTGATTGTGAGTAAGATTCTTTGTGTTTTGGGGAGCATTGGTGTCTTTTTGTTTGTCACACACTCAATCAGTTCAGTGTTTAACTTTGGTTTACTTTCAGACAAAAAAAACTGTCGTTAATCATCAGGTCTTCCACTTTAACCTTGTGTTTTTTGTTCGGGATGTTCTGTACTGAAACTCCCTGGAAATCCCAGATCAGCTCATACCTCAGTTGCACAGTTGGCCGGCTAGTTTGGAAATATGGGCCAAGTTCTTTGCCTCACCTGTTTGACTTGCTCTGTTAGTCAGCAAAGGAACATTTCATTTTTTTTACAGCTAGAATCAGATAGTTCATAAAAACAGTCAAACTAACTGTATTTTGTTATTGTCAATTCATTTTTTTAACTTACTAATTGAAATAAAGCTTTTGAATGAAGCTCGAGTTTGTTCTAAACAGAGAGAACTTATATGACTATGAGAGGATTTCATTGTACAGGTTATTTTTAACATTATGTACATTATGGCTCTCGGAGGTGTTTGACGAGCCAGCAGCTGTCTCCTTGTTTGTTCAGTTGGTGGGAAACCAGGTGGATGGGTCTTTCAGTGGCTCACCTCATTTTCATCTCTGCTCTTTGTCTCCTGGTTTCACAATCTCTCGTCTTTTTCATATCTTTCAGGACTTTAATAGGAACAAAAGAAAAAGCAAAAGTCGTCACCATGCTGGGGGAAGCTTTGTCAAACGTTTTAAAGTTACACAATTATCTAAAATCAAGAACCGGTAAGTGTCTTTGTCTCCTTCAGTGATTCATTCCTCACCACATTTTTTGAGAGATATAAATTGCTGAGTGTTTGTGTGTGTGTGTGTTGGTCCTCCCCAGATGCCAGAGTCAGAGACTACCCTCTGATGAAGAGTCCCGTAGAGATGACCACCATCCTGTTGGCCTACGTCTTCCTCTCTGTGTACGCCGGACCCCGCCTGATGGCACACCGCAAACCTTTCAATTTAAAAGTAGCCATGATCGTCTACAACCTCAGCATGGTTTTACTGAACGCCTACATAGTGTTTGAGGTAAGAAAAAAAAAAGTGAAGAATAGAGCTGACTCACCTCTTCTCATCTCTTGTGGAGATTTAAAGGTACAGTGTGTAGAATGTTGTGATATCTTGTGTTGAAATTGCATGTTGCAGCTGAACACCCCTCACATCACCCTCTCCTTCCTAACATGAAGCATCTCTTCAGACTACACCTTGGTTAAGAAGATGATGGTCTAATAACTATCGTCAACTCTCAAAACAATAAAAATAAAGTCTAGTTGCACTTATATATTGCACCTACATGAAGTACTTTTGTATTTTGGCTTTTTTGAAGCTAATATACCTACATGATTCTTGCTGTTCTGGGTTTATACCCTCATGGTTGAATGAGCTAAATGAATTGCATATCATTTTTGACATTAAATGTTGATTTGTTTTGTTTTTTTACTTAGTTCCTGATGTCTGGATGGGGCACCACCTATACATGGAGATGTGACCTAGTCGACACCTCCAGCAGACCGGAGACTTTCAGAGTAAGTCAGGTTCATCATCTCGTCTCTGTCTGATTCATTTTATGTTTTGTTGAATTTACTAAGTTTTATTATTTCACGTGGTCAACAAAATAAATCAATCAAGTTGACCTTGCCTATAGTTTTTCAGTATTTTGAAGTTCATTTTATTTTGGGAGCAGGATTACATAAAAACATCTGAAAGTATTTCCATAAAAGTTTGGTTTGTATCCAGATCAGGGAGCAGATCCAGAATTATTATTTCTTTCACTTTTATAACTTTTATAAAATAAAAGTGATATTTTTTCTTATTGTTGGGCCCTGAAAAGCATTTTAGTTCAGCTGTTTATTATCATTAATAAATAAATCGGTATTTGTCTCCTTTTGGTGAATATTCAATTCCTGTTCAATATTTGAGATCACAACTATTTTCTATCTTTCTATCTTCTACCTTCCCCCCAGATGATTCGAGCTTGTTGGATGTTTTATTTTTCAAAATACATTGAACTCCTCGACACAGTAAGGACACTTCCATCTCTTCTCTTTTCACTTTTTCTAGTGACTCATCAGAATATTCGTATACCTCATGTGCATATCAACTTGAGCTTAACTGGATTTTCATATTTCAGGCATTCTTTGTGCTGAGGAAGAAACAAAGCCAGATCACATTTCTCCACGTGTTCCATCACTCCTTCATGCCGTGGACATGGTGGTGGGGCATCACCCTGACTCCTGGTGAGATTCACTCAATATCAATGCAACGTACTTCATCACGTTGACACTGTGTCCATGTTTGTTGTGGCTTAAACGTGGATAATCTATATATTAAAAAAATTCTCCTAGCCATGTGTGACAGTTGAGATAATTCCCTGTGTCTTTCTTCTCAAGCTGGAGGAATGGGCACCTTCCACGCCATGGTGAATGCAGCCATCCACGTTATCATGTATTTCTACTACGGACTCTCTGCTGCAGGGCCTCGATTCCAGAAATATCTGTGGTGGAAGAAGTACATGACTGCCATCCAGCTTGTACGTCCCCATTTCCCCCAAAAATAAAAAATCGAATATAGTTTTAATCGGTAACCAATTTGTAACCATACGCTCTCTGTTTTTGCAGACGCAGTTTATCCTTGTCTCCGTCCACATCAGCCAGTACTACTTCATGGAGAAATGTGACTACCAGGTAAAGATGTGGATCCACTTGATCTGGATTTATGGAATGTTCTTCTTCCTGCTGTTCTCCAACTTCTGGGTGCAGGCCTATATAAAGGGCAAGCGGCTGCCCGTCACAAATGACCAGCTGAAGTCGAACGGCTCGGCTAGCGAACCCATCCCTGTGGTGGCCAACGGCAAGCACAAGGAGAATGGAAACGTGTCCCACTACACCAACGGCAAAATCTTGATGGGCAAAGTAAAGGAAATCTAACTTAAGTGACTGGAATGAGAAGGAAAAACAGCAGGTGGCTCAATAGGGCCTATAGCTGTCCTTCATTGTTCATATAGCATATTGGGATGGCACAAATTCCAATATACTGCTTCTGTTTATAATATCTAAATTAGTCTAGTCTTTTAAACGTATGCACATGTATTGGGATATGAATGCCATATTGTATTTTGGTGGTTATCTAACGTGACACTTTTGGTTCTTGTGAAAACTATTGACTGTGACACACGCTACATGAAGATTGGTGCTCATTTTGTCACTGATAGGGTTTTTCAATTCCAGCTTGGCTGACATGACCCTGGTTGTTTGGAAACATTGCACCATTCCCACTGAAAGACTTGCACGTGTAAATAACTGCTACAAAGCTTATGCCAAAACAAAGGTTTTAATTCTAAATGTCAAATTCTTTTTTTTTTTCTCTCCTTCTCTTCTTATTTATCATTTGAAATAAAAAACAATTAGATGAAGGTCTGTGTCATTTGGAAAGCAGTTGTGTGGTGTGCACTTTTGTAAGAAATATACTACACTACACAATTTTTCAATTGTAAGAATTGTGGAAAAGAAATGTTAAACTGTATATTACAGTATTGATACGTTTTTTTGCATAATGAGGCAGTGATGCGTACACTGCTTTGTGTGATCATGCATGTCTGAGTTTTGCAACTTTGTATGGTCTATTCTCCCAGCAAACTGAGAGTGAAGCTAACCGGTGCGTTCAAATACATCTGAATAAAAGAAATCGTTACGGAGTGGTTGACGATCTTGTTGTGAAGTGCAAGCTTTTAAGTGGGTCCGACATCTGCCACGAAATCAAGATAAATATGTTGTATGATGTAATTGACTCATGTTTAAAACGTTGCCTGTTTCTGACTTGAAAGCTCAATGGACGTTGTAATTTTTACTTTTCACCATAATAAAATAATTTTCTGAATCCATAAGAATCTCAGAAGTTAGATGAAAGAATTGATGTAGAATAAAAGAATGAACAGGAACACGAGCATGTGCAGCACGATTGTTTCTTAAGCAAATGTATCCAACTGTTTATAGGGATTTAGCTGTTCCAGCCAGACATTGCATGGAAAATTCCTCTGCATGTTTTTTCATCTGTGCTTGTTAGTTGGCAGGATTAAGCAATAAAAATACTCAACATAGAAGTAGGAAAAGACCTAGATAAAAAAAAAATTACTTGTTTAAGGGGCTGATATCAATAATTGGTGCAAATCCAAATAAAAATCTGTACCCAGTGAATTTACATGTGGCCTCATTGGCAGACGGTTGGGCCTTGCTGGAGATATGAGGTCTCTGTAGTTCAGATAGTTGTCTGGTAGGATGTGCATGAATGTATGATTTGATTTTGCCAAAGAACAAACCTGGAGTCTGTCTCAGGCAGTTAAGGACACTGTCAAGTGCATCAATAAAAGTTTTTGTTAACCTAACAAATACCGAGGGTTAAAAAACAAGCCTTGTGTCCAGGTTTATTTGTTTTGCAGTATAAATGTCACAGTTGAAGATTAAGTCAAGATGCATTACATACCGATATTGTCCTAGCCCTACAGTTTAAGGTCCAGGGGTCCACTGTACCGAGGCCGCCATGTTTTACAGTATTCCGAACTTAACACCTTTGAGTTTTTATGACAACTACCACGGGTTCTCTTTCAAGTTTAGAAGGGGAGGTTGAGGTGATGGGGTGTTCAGCTGCAACATTCAACTTGACCACTAACTGCTACACACTGCACCTTTAACACCGAAGAAATGCTGACAGAGGCACTTTAACAGTAAAACCATTTATTTATAATCCAGTCCATTGTATACAATGCATCATGATTACAATAAAACTTTATGAGTGAGCTGCTTGAAAGCCAACACTTGAACTTTACCACACTAGCGGACCTATATAAACAATTAACCCATAGGTAGAGCAGCAAGAAGCCATTAATGGCCAAAACACCAGTGGACAACTTTATTGTTGATTAAATAAAACATTTGCACATTTGTTATACAGACTAAAAAACCCCAATTCAAGAAAAAAGAAAGTTATCTGATTGATTGATGAATGACACTGCTGGTTGACTTCACCATCCTTTCTTTGGCCTTCTTCTTCACAGGATCCACTTCAAAGCTCTTCCACATACGTATTGTTTCATCCCCAGCGACAGTCGCAACTGTAGAGCAGTCTGGGCTCATAGTCAAACTCAGAACTCTGTCCTCATGACCTAAAGACACAGAATTTATGTTAGAGTGTATCTCTTTCAACATAAAGTGAGTGAACACGTGCAGAAACAGTCTCGTTAAAACAGTTACTCACCGTTGAGCTCTGCGACTCTGGTGAGAGACGGATACTTCCAGATAACGACGTTGTTGTGAGCATATCCATGAGCAGAGACCAGCTCCTTATAGTTTGGTGCAAATGACAGTGAGGAGATCTGAAAGGCAAAGTTAGTGTAATTTGAGTAAAATTTTAATTAAATTCTTAAAACTGAAAACAAGTAAATAATCAGATATTTCTAACAGAGGACCAGGAGTCTGAAGCAGCAGTCAGACATTTACCAAACTCTAGAGGGCAAAACAAGTGTCCAAATGTCAGCTGCTCCTGAAATCTTAAAAATCTTGGTGAGCCCAGTGGGTGTGGCACATTTATAAAAACACAACAGATGCAAAAAAAGACAAACATCTCTGGATGAAAAAGGGTGACATACAAAGGAGATGCGAACAAAAGATGACGCTTTAAACAAAAACACTAGATTTCTGCTGTGGATTTTGTCCATATATTCTGCATCCTTGCTGCTCTACCCAGGAGCCAGCCCTCACCTAAAAGTTCCAGACAATGTCCCACTCATGTTCATGTCTGGACCCAGTTTATGTCTGAAAACAGTTTAAGTGTGCAGTACCTGGGACTGAGTGTCGAGTGAACTGATGCAGGCGCCACTGTTTACGTTCCAGATTCGGATGTGACGATCACTGGTACCACCTCCAGATGCCAGGATGTTTGGCTGCCATGGACACCAAGCCAAAGCCTACAACACATCCAAAACTTAATGTCATATTTATAGCAGAGAATATTTATGACAAAGTATTTCCATGTCATCCCAAATTCTGGGCGTATGAATACAACGCTGCTCACCTTGACAGCTCCTTGATGTTCGCTCCAGCAGCGGACTGATTGGCTTTCATTGCTGACGCTGCCCCCATTCACACGGGGCCATACGCTCACCAAGTTGTCGTTGCCCCCACTGGCCAGGTATCGCCCATCGGGGGACCACGTCAGTCCACACACCTCCTGCGAGTGACCGCTGAGTGTGAAGATGTGATGGTCTGCCACCCTCACATCATGATGGTGGATGTGCCCTGACCTGGAGCCACTGGAGGACAAGAAAGAAAACGTCACACTCCGAGTCCGAATAAAAATGGAAACCACTGGAAAATTGATTTTTAAATTAGACGAAAAAATTATTTACCTGGAAAGAATATGGTCATTCCAGCTCAGGCTACCAACTCTGGCTGTGTGGCTGGCCATGCTGCGCAAACGCTTCTGGTTTTCAACATCCCATAGCTACAAAAACAAATTCAAAATACAACAATCAGTTATTAAACCAATTATAGTTCAAGGATTTTTAAGAACTAAGATGGTGCATGCCTGTGTGTCACCAAACTGACCTGAACTTTGCAGTCACTTGTGCCGATGGCCAGGTAGCTTCCCTCCTTGGTCCAGGACAATGAGCAGATGTAGTCCTCCTCACGGTCCAACTTCATGAGCTGAATGATGTCTCCTTGAGTGGCGTCCCACAGGTAAGCAGTGTTATGAAGAGCCACAGCAAGAACGTTTCGACTGCTCCAGTCAAGCAGATTCAAATCTGTGAAAGAAAAAAAAGAAAAGGCACAAATGAGTCATCAAAATATTTATGAATGAAAACCTTAACATACAGTATCAAGTGCATTGATCTGCGTCAAGCTTGTCAGGAATCTAATGAATGAATGAATGCCATTAGGAAACACTTAAATGCTGAACCCACAGAAATCATTGCGAAGAGCAGGAGCATCCAGGATTCTGTCAGGAGTCAAAGATATGTATCTCGTCTTTTTGGCCGAGGCAGGAGTTGCAACCTGGCTATAGAGGACTTTCAAGTTGTTTTGATAACCTGCAAATAAGACAAAAAAAGAAATCATCACCATCTATATTATGCATTCAATGTTCTTGCTAAGCAAAGTGTCAAGTCTAGGTTAATTTAAAAAACAACCACTGAAGCATCAGAATGGTCGACCTCAGCGTCCGGGATGGTTTAACGGTTCAACCGCAAATTAAAATCAATCCTGAATTTGTCAGGAAGCCAGTGAAGACAGGCCAGAACTGGTTTAACTCCCTTCCTTCCTTCCTTACCTTCAGGTGCATTCAGTGGTTTCCCTCCAAGGTGCAGGATCTTTGCATCTTCAATATTGTATCCATTCAGTGACACAGACCAGGCTTTCTGGTTGTCCTAAAAACACACACACAGCGTTGATCAATACACTTCTTCACGTACAAGAGGAGAAATGCACCAGAACAGATTATAACTCACTGATGTCCCTGCTGTGTTGTTTGTGTCCATGGGCTCGTTCTCCTTTGTGAGCAGGAAACTCGCCACATCCATTTGGTTGCTGTTTCTGGTGGGGATGAAGCGGTCACCCCCCATTTTGGAGGGCGTTTGCTTTTTATTTTTACCTATGAACACAAAACATGGAGGAAACAGCTGTTGGTGTTTGAGGAGATGACGGCGTTGCCAGGTCTCAGGGTGTGAACGGCTGTGGCGTTACCTGGTGTTTTGCTCGGTGTCTTCGATGAGCTCTGCGACACATTGGTAGATTTGCCGGGCGACAGGCCGCTCAGGGCGGACGTGTTGGAGGAGCTGGCCTTCCTCTGCCACCTCGCCATGGGAGCGTTGGTGATGGGCATGTCCAGCTTCAGGATACTGTGGATGTCGTTCTCAAACCCGAACTGCGCCATCTTTATTTAATTCCAAGTTGTCACACGAGCTGGAAACCGGAGCCAAGGAAGAAAAAGCGTTTTACACGCATTCACAATAAACAGCAGAAGCTAATCCAGGTTGTGTTTTGTTAGCTCGGTGAGTTAGCACCACGTTAGCGGCTGGTGCGAGCTTTTTAAGAAAACGATGCTAACTAGCTTCAGCCCATTTGCCCATTTACGCTATTGCTGTTGTTACAGTGGGTTAAACAAACGGAAGTTAGCATTAGCTTCCGCAGCGAGAACCAGTGTTTATTTACTCTACTGCGAAAAAGACAACTCCGCTGACTTCCTGAAAGAAAAGGAAACTTTTTGAACAACACATGAAATTCACCTTTTTCAGAAAACGTGGAGGATCCGCGGCCTCTCTCTCTCTCCTCCGCTCCCACAGTTTGAATTCTGGGGATATGACGCCACACGGTTTAAATGCCTGAAAGCTCTCCTGTGATTGGCTCGTTCAAGGAGCTGCCGCTATCGCCACGGCAACGCTTACGAATGCGTCCATTTGATTGGTGGAGGAGACTTCATGACGTATCAACGTCTGAAAACAACCCTACTTATCCAAGAAAAATCTACCGCCGCCTACTGGGCAATGATAATAAATGATAATAATGAATGCCTAAATAAAAAAATTATATTATTAATGTTTATTTGAACATAGCACGTGATGCATGTATCTGCAGGCCATACAATAATAGAAAACAGTCCAAGGTAATGTATGAACAATGTGTAGATTCCAGCAGGGCACTTTATTTCTTCATCTATATTTCTAAATTGGTGGTGCTTGGATTTAGTTATTTAAAAGAAACATATGAAGATTACTCAATGATCAATTGTCAAAGTACGACTGTAGGATAGTTTGATTGGATAAAGAATATCAGAGACTTCTCACAACCTACAGGAGAGCATGTTGACGAGACATTTACATATTTATTTACCCATTGAAAACTAGTTAGCACCTGTAAAATTTCTCTTTTGGTTATGTATGGCTTTAAACCACAGATTTAAACACATCAAATTAATCGTTTTTTTGTCTTTGATTTGTGACCCAAGAGTGATCACGTGATTAGATGTATATGTGTGAACAAGATTAATGGGATTCAAGGTGTTTTAGGTTAGGTGCTGAAAAGTCTTTAAAAAAAGAAAACAAAGTAATACAAGATGACCATTTTGTTATACTATTTTAATGACTGCAGTCAAAACCTTACGGAATACTATGAATTATACAAAAATCTCAAAAACAACATACAAATGTTTTTAACTTCAAATCCATCATGAAACCAGTGTACAAATACAAAAAGATGCATCTAAGCGCACACTAAAGTTTATATCAGTTGTTTGATATTGGATTAAAGGTGGATTTTTCAACATGATCTCACATCAATGTGGACACATTAAATTCATAGCTGTGTGAAAAGATAACACTCCTCAGACAAAATCTGCGAAAATAATAATTGACAAAAACAATGTGAATTATGGAATTTATTCATTTCATTCTCAAATCTGCAGATTAAGGTGACCTGGAACCAAACAAAAAAATGTGACCATATAAAATGAACAAGGAATTGTTTACACATGTAATAGGAAACAAAATATTGACAATTGCAACAGCACACATAATCACAAAGACAAATAACAATTAGGACGTTTTTTAGAAAAACAACACCTCGGCACAGTCAGCCTCTTTGGAAAACTACAGTCCATCCAGTGTTTGGCAGAGTTTCACTATTATTAATCTCAGGGCAAGGCTGCATTTTTGATTTGAGCAGAGCTTTATGTACACACTATGACTATTTACTACATCGCTTGCTCAGTAACATTGTGACGTTTGAATTTCCCTCCGGAGATTAATAAAGTATTTCTAATTCTGATACATTCTTTGTCGTAACTTTCATTAAATACTGTGCAGGCTTCAAACAGAATCCTACCCATGTATATTTCCGCATATTTTAATATCTCAAACTTCGGCCCTTATTAACTGTGCAAATAGAAGCTTGTACATTGTTGCAGACAGTGAACATACCTACATTCTGTGTGTGTGGGTAAATACATTCATTTGTAAGCTAAAAGGTTTTAAAATCACCAGTGTAAAGTGTAATACATGCATGATAAAGTGCATATACTAATGTGGTCTGAAATGTAGACTGGTTCGTTACACAATGTTGGTTCAGTATAGCAAAGGTATGTTTACAGTCATCACAGACAGAAGAAACATATTTAATGGTAAATCAGGAAGTGGACATTCAACAGCGGACACAGCGGAGAGAGCTCAAACCCAAGTCTGACATTTAGCTGGAGCTTTGAATCACAAGGTATGGTAACCATTGCCTTTTTCCTCTGGATCCATTTCAGTCATGTCCTTGGGGTAATGTATGAGTGAGCCGATAACCCCTGCAAAGAAATCATATTTATAAATACATGCATGACCTGGGAGGACCTGCTGCATATTCAGTCACAATAAAAGTGAGTTGATGCTGTTCACTGTTCAGCGAATCAGGATAGATACAATCCCATGACTGGCACATTAACTACTTGAAAATAGGGTATGTTGCTCTCAGTTCACTTTATATTTAACCTACAGTTTACTGAAAGTTAAAATGAAAACAAAAGGGTTGTTGTTCTCTTACCTCCAGGGTGCCTCAAACCTAAGCACAGTGTGAGAAAGACAAATCACATGACCATGCTTTAGATTTAGAGAGTATGAGGGTCCATACCAAAAATCACATGACAAGACAAATGATGCTGCACTCTGTGAACTCAGGTGATATATTCAGAGATTAAACATTAACATTACAGTGTACCGGACTTGAAAAGGAATTGTTTTGCTGGGTTGTTAAGATTATAAACTGTGAATTAAAAAAGGTTCAAGATTATTAGTATCCACATGGAAAAAACAATCTCATTTACTCACCCCCGTTTTTGGAGAGGAGGAGGCTTATTAGGATAAAGCCGGTAAATGCAAGGAGTGCCATGATCGGGATCAGAACCTGAGGCAAGGGAATCCCTGCACCTAAAATAACAAATAATTGGTTACTGTAAAACATGTGGGTTTTTATGTGGAGATGGGACAAATCATGGGGACTACTTTACTTGAACCTTTATTTTTCTTGGCACACATTCAGTCATATGACTAACAGTGAAATGCCATCAGCTGCCTTCACAGTTCACAGCCACCAGCAACATTCAAGCAGTTTCTGCAGAGTAATAACCTCCAGACAGGACCCAGGACACTGTGGTCTATTCTATCTGTTATGACCAATACTGTATTGAGAATACAGAACAAATGAATCATGTAGAATGGATAGGTACTCCCTTATAATTAAGTTGCAACTAATCCGGGTGTAGAAGCATTAGAGTTTTTCATGTAAAATTAGAGCCGGGCCAATGTGGAATTTTTTGGCCCAATGCTAATGCAAATATTAGGGAGAATAACATTTCCAATACTGATATTTAAGTCTTTTATAGCTGGTGTTCAAATCTAAATATTACACCACTGGTTTTGCTTGAGTTCTAGTCGCAAACTTGAAAAAAATTCATCTCAAAATCCCACAAATGCCACACAGGTCTCCCGCGCTGTTGTTACTAATTCACTGAAAATTCGGAATCAATTTCATAAGACTATGGCTTGAATGAGCACTCAACTGTAGCCCCATTTGTTAAAAAACATCTATTCCCACCCTCTTTATCAGACCCCACTTTTACTGCCTGGTGAAACAAAGGTTTATTGTATATCAAAGACCTTTACAAAGAAAACACATTTACTGATTTTACAGAGCTCGCAACCAGGTTTGAATTACCCCACTCTCACTTTTTTCGTTTTCTCCAAGCCAGGCACTTTGTCCAAACCACCTACCCTCACTTCCCCAACCACCCTTCCGGATCTCTGATTGATTCCTTGCTCACCCTCGATCCTACACAAAAGTGCTCCATCTCTGTGATTTACAACTCCATTGACTCGCTTAACCCCGTCCAAACTGCTCGTCTGCACCAGACTTGGGAACAGGAAATAGGAGCTCCAATTTCAGATAATCACTGGGACAAAATCCTTAAGCTAGTTTATACGTCCTCTATATGTTCCAGGCACAGCTTATTACAATGTAAAGTTCTTTTCAGGGTACACTACACAAACGTCCGGCTGGCAAAGATTTACCCAGGCACCAGTGACAGTTGTAATATGTAAACAGTCTCCTGCTAATCACACACATGTTTAACATATTAAACACTTGCAACAGCGTATTGGCCTTTACAACCCTATTGGCCAGACACCTTATCTTATTTAAGTGGAAACATGTTCTCACATAACAGCTGGCTTAAAGAGATCTTAACTCATATCAAACTTGAGAAGATTAGACTCTCACTGGCGGGTTCTGATAACGCTTTCATCAAAACATGGCAACCCTTTTTAGAGTACTTAAACAGAGTTACTATTCACCCAGAAAGTGACTAGATGCCCTGCCCCTCCCCTCACCTTATTTTATTTTTATTTATTTTTGTATGTCTGCCTAGCAGTGGGTGGGAAGGTATAAGGGTTAATTGGGTTCGCAGAAGGCTCAGTTCTAGTTCGATAGAGCATTAGATAAAGCAGCCAACTACCACTGTTCGACAGCTTATTTTGCACACACTGTATATGTGAGCTGCTGGTATATGTAAATGAAAAAAACCAATAAAAAGATTTATAATAAAAAAAAAAGAAAAAGCCACAAATACACACCTGACTGTTCCCCCGAAAGCTTCAGCTCCCTCATGAGCTTGATGCATCCACTCTGAAGGCGGATCCTCTCTTCCCTCGTGTGCTGCTCTTCCTGGTCCCACAACATTTTGATGGCCAGCGCTTCTGGTGCATGTGCCTTCCACGTGTCGGTGTGGTCCAGAGTGAGACAGACCTTCCCATCAAAGAACACACGGTCCGTCCAGTGCAGCTCAGACCCCTCCAGTATGCATTCACGAGAGCGCAGAACAGTGTGGTTCCCTGGGGGGGGGGGGGCAAAACAAGAGTTAAATGTCACAAGTAACAACATCACTTACATTCATCTCGAGCACACGGTGACCTGCTTACTGAGCACTGAAGTCTGGTTGACACTGATGAGATCCAGGAGGAGGGGATCAGTCGAAATGGTTTCCTTTATATTGTTGAATTCATGGCTTGTGCCAGAGAGAGAGACTCCATTGAGAAGAACTTGTTCCTCAACGCTCTGAGCACCCACCACTCCCCACTGCTGGGCCTGAACTATGACAGTATCTGATGGAGGAAAAACAAAAAATGCACACAAATGCATATATTGTTTATCAGAACTGAATTGGACAAATTGCACAATTATTCAACCTATGTCCTCATCGTTGTGAATTGCCTAAATGGTATATCTTCTCTTACTTCGGTTTACACATGCACAAAGTTACACAACAGGTCATGCAAAACAGGTGTTAAACAGAAAGTAACTTGTGCTGCAAATACTCCAAATTGCTCATGCATAAAATAGCCCCATTCTCAACACACATCAAGACACAACTGTGAATGCAAAAATAAAACCACTCATATATGATTTTAAGGTTGTGCTCGGTGCAACTACATTAGACGTCTGGTGTTTTTTCTCTCATGCCATGCAAACATTTAATGTCTTCTGCTTGATTATTAAATGCATATAGTGGAATAAAAAGGGCTGCCAGCTTTGAGCAATCTACACAGCAGACATCCAGGAATTGTTTCCCCCCAGTACAGTATTTGTTGACACTGTCAGACAAAGCTGAGTGGGTTTAACTCTCTTTAACTCTTTCGCTGCTGCCCTAGTTTCGATCGCGTTGGGGAGATTTTCTGAAAATCAAGTGGATTAAACACCAAAGTTTCAATATGATTTCCATTTGAAATAAACACAGTTGGTTTGGTGTGAGGAAAAAAAGTGAACACGAAGTTTCACAATGGTAGGAAGTTTTGCAGTAGTAGTAGGCTGCGTTACTTTCCTCCTACAACACACATCTACACAGTCAGTTTCTTTAAATTGTGGCTGTTGTAAATCTGCTGGTTCACAGAGGAAACGATGACATGCAGCACAAACAAGCTTCTCACCCACTGGAACAGGAAAAGCCCGAGACGAGCGGCACAGCACTAGCGCGAGAAAGCCAAGAAACTTCATTTCCAGCTCGTGCTCACAAGAAATCTCCACGGTTGGAAATAGCCCGGATTGGTTTAAGCCATTTAAGTGTGACCAGTGCACGAGTGAGACATCCACACCGGCGGCTTGACCGAGGACTCGAGCACACCCCGTCACGGTTGCTCACTGCGTCTGCAACCTCTACCGACTGTTCTTTAAATGTGCATGTCTGATCTGTGATTGGCTGAGCTCTGATGCACAGAAGATCAGATCCTGTTTTGCCTGAATCTGCTGTGCTCCAAAAACACACACGCCCAGCTCGCACATGTTTACATGATGAGATATGATTTTATGGGTATTAAATCAAGTCAAGTTTATTTAAAAAGCACATTTTAAACAGCAAGTCTACAGTGCCTAAGAATAAAAACTAAGGTGTATGAGTCTAAAATTAGATTTTGATAAAACAGAAACTGAAAGAAGTTAAAAACTGAATTAGAATGCAGGACAGTTAAAAGCATGAGAAACCCATCCAGGCTGGCTGAGTTGTGGGTACACTTTGGACAGGTCGCCAGCGTATCACAGAGGGAACTTACAGAGACACTCTCACAGTCACAATTTTAAGGTCCAGTGTGTGAGATTCAGGTGAAAGGGAACTATTGGCAGAAATCTTATGTAGAATAATCCTCATGATGTTTTCACCAGTTTGTTTCACCTAAATTGTATCAATTGTAGTTTTCTTTACCCCAGAAAAGGCCCTTTATATTTAAATACTTTATATTTACATCGAGGGGACCCTCTCTACGGAGGCCGCCATGTTTTTTACATTAGTCCAGACTGAACAAACTAAACACCTTTTGAGTTTTTATGACAACTGAAGCTACCACAGGTTCTTTTTTATGTTTGGAAGGAGAGGGTGAGGTGAGGGCTGTTCAGCTGCAACATGCAACTTCAACACTAGATATCACAACATTCTACACTCTGTACCTTTCTTTAAAGTCTCCAATCAACCGAACCCCAATCTGCATGTCTTTAGACGGTGGGAGTTTGTGGAGAAAAAAACATGCAGACACACTGTTTTGTGAACTCCACAAAATAAGACCCAAACAGGGATTCAAATCAGGAACCTGTGAGATGACAGTGCTGGACTAAGTGAATACACCATCAAACTCATACTTTAGAGAGAAAACAATAATACAACTTTGCTGAAACTCTCCTGAAACTTTACAAATCTATAGGCTTCACTGTGGTTAAAGTCAGAGTCTATCCACACATTACCCATGGTAAAGGAATGTTAATAAGTACATTTAACGGCTGCCCGGCTTGTCAATGATTCTGTGACATGCAGCTTCCAAAAATATTTAGCCAGAGGTCCAGTTAAACATGACCCTGCTTCTTGACAATTACTCTTCATCTTTGGGAGCAAAGCCTTATAGTTTTAAATGTATCGTTATCCTGACTGACGCGGTCTGTTGTTTTTATTAGTGTGATAATAAGGAACATATTGTTCATCTCTGTCTCTTCGTCTGTCTATCTAAATAAAAGGTCAAGCATTATCTCTACTGTACAGTCCTATTTTTTTTAATCACATGTGATGGTTCTTATAAAAACGTATCAGAAACAAATGACATGGGGAGCATAAGATGTTTTCAGCTCTGTTTATCTGCTGCGTAAGTGGAATGTTTAAAATGTGACATGTTATGTTTTGACCAGATCTCAAGTACTCGTTCCTCAGTCTTCTACAGGCATCATCCTAAAATGGAAGGTATGCAGGACACACAGGAAAAGATTGTATAAACAGTGGGCTGTGAGGGAGCCAGGTTCTGTGCTGTGCAGTGATACATGGTCAAATTACACTTTTTTTAGACCTTGGTTTTAAAATCTTGTGACCCTGCCCACTCTAAGTGATGCGTTTTTCATGGGGTGGGGGTTTGTTTGTTTGTTTTTTTAAGTATATTTCTTTCCCTTTCATTTCATGCTCTAGTTCCTAGAATTAAAGGCAGCAAGGCCACATAAGCCTGCAATGGGAATTTTCAACAGGGACCTAAGTTTTTTGTTGGACAATGATCCGTACCAATGAAATAGTAAACAGGGGTGAACAAAAAGAATACATTTGAAAAATCACAATGCATGAGGCAAGGTAAAGTAAGGCATGTTTGTCTTGCAACTTTCAACAATAAGAAACACATGAGAATAAAAAGACAAAGACACACATACATAGGAGCTATAAGGATTCAAAAATAATTCAAGAAAAAAGAAAGAGGGATTATATTATTATATTAACAGATATGTGTAAATATTAAAACAAATTTAAATAGACAGCAAAAAGAATAATATTTAAATATATTATGAATGTTTTCTTCACGCGGAATACTTGAGAGTTCTACTGATGTGTGTTTTATATTCGATGTACATCAAGTGAAAGAAGGTATTACAAATAAATAACAGAAAGGAGATGGCATTACATACAAGTAAACACAAATAGAAAGAATAAAAGAAACAAAACATTAAACATATGAAACAGTGGCAAAGCAAAATACCAGTAAATATGATCAGGATTATTATCACATTATGTATTATTTAGATCTTAAGCTCTTTATATACAGTCTGTGGTTTTAAGGTGTAAACTCAATCGTTGACACGAGCCAGTCCTTCTCTGTGTGCCACAGCGCCCCCTTGTGTGTGGCCGCGGGATGAGCCTCCACCGGATTGGCTGAGCGGTTGTCAGTAGTGTTTACAGGAAACATGGCTTCTGCTGGAGAGCTTCAAGAAATGGAAGGTGGGTAAATGTGGGACGATGCAGCCGCGACATGTTTGTATCGTGTGGGTGCGCCGGTGCTCGTGCGGATGAACAGCGGCGGCTTCATGTGAACACATCCGGCGACTCGTTCTCCTTGTTACTAAGCAGATCTCCATCCTTGGCTAGCTAGCGAGCTAACAGGCTAACAACAAGACTCGCTAGTGAAACGCTATTCAGTCAACTCACCCCGCCTTGCTAATCCACATATTAACAAGTTCACTTTCTCTGACCTTTAAAAAAACGTATAATATATAAAGAGTGGATGTTATGTTTAACATAGACATGTCCGCCGTGGTGACATGTGCAAATTTCAGCTTTAAACGTGGTCCAGTCTGCTAACTAGCTCGCTAACATAGTTAGCAGTGCTCAGCGTGTGTCTTAATGGGAGTGAGCTAACCTTAGCCTGCAAGCTGCCTCTAAAAACTGAATAACAGCAAGTCACGGTCAGATGTGTCCACTGGGAGTTGTAGTCCCGATGGGGCCACGCGTGTGTCAGGGTGCACGAACGTGATTTTACATCGATAGCAACCAGACAATCTAGATCTTCATCTAATGAGCTTCTCTTGTGCTCGTCTGCTGACTGCAGTGGACCGGAGGGGTGAGTCCGAGGAGTCCGGGGATGATGAGACCAGGAGGAAGAGTATCAATGGAGACGTGGACCCCAATCAGCCCGCTGCCACAAGTAAATCAATACATCTGCAGCTCTGCCACGTTGAAAGGAAGATGTTTTCTAAACCAGCCTGTCAGCTGATATCAATTTGACACGACCAAGAACTAGCCATCTATCATGGCAGTGTTAAATAACCACCAATCAGTCTCCTCGACTGTTTTAAGAAGCTTTTTGTGGCTGTATCTTTTTATTAATACCCTTCCTTGATGCAGCTTTGTTATTTTATCTGATGTAATTTCCTTCTTGTTGAAGGTAAAGAAGAGTCTCCTGTTGACATGGACACCATAACGTTGGACCCTGAGGAAGAGGTTAGAACAGGGTCTAAAAACACTACTGCTGTTCAGATGTACTCATCCATCCATCTATCCATCCTCTATACCACTTATCCATTGAGGGTACACACTGGACATTCCACCCACAGGGCAAACATACAAAGACAAACAATCATTCACACTAACAGTGTATACCTCTTTTACACCAAAATCAGAGGGTATACACAGATTTTCTAAACACTGGTAAACCTTCCAAAAAAGGTGATTGATTCATTAACGATTGCCAGTAGAAGAATTTGCCTTTCTGTTTTTCCCCCCCCGGTGCATCATATTCGATGTCATGAACGCAACGAAAGCTGAGAAGCTCTCACCTCTCTGTCTTGCCAAATGTATTTCTTCAGCCAGGTGTCTCATTTCTATCACTGCCCATTGTAACAGATAAAAACCTGTAGAAACCACTGTAGAGTAATTTGGCCCTGGGGGGAAATGCAGATATTAACCATATCCATATCAATGTCCTATATTTATAATGACTGCTTTTGGTTGGATGATCATTAAACACTTTTATGTATTTTAGAATGTTCACTTATTGTTGCTTGGGATACAAATCACAAAATGTTTAATTTTGAAAATATATAAATATATTTCCCAAATGTTTCACCACTGCAGCTGTATCTTTTCTCTAAAAGACAATCTATAGTTATCCATCTTCTTTCTAGGATGTTGATCTTGTTCATTGTCGTATTGGAAAGATTGAAGGATTGGAGGTGCTACAAAAGGCCAAAGTAAGTAACTTCAGTTACTGAGAATGGTCTTTTATCTTAGTTCCAATTATTTTCCTCCTGTTTACATTCTTTAATTTACATTCTATGATAAAAATCAAGTCATATTTCTGTAACTTCACGTTCTCTTCATCTCCACACAGACACTCTCCTTACGACAAAACCTCATTAAAAAGTTAGAAAACCTTGACAGTTTGACGTCACTGCAGGAACTAGATCTCTACGACAATCAGATCCGCAAACTGGAGAACCTGCACACCCTCACACAGTTGGAGTAAGTCTGGAAAAACTCTCCGTTATCTCCACATATGATGCATCCATAGAGGGCTGAAGTGGTAAATGTAGATATAAAGTTGTATAATATTTTTTGATATGGCAGATATTACAGAACAAAGAACCCAGATTTTAATTACAATGACTTCTAATGGAGACATTTGTTTGATGGACCAACAGGCAGCTCGATGTGTCCTTCAACGTTTTGAGGAAAGTGGAGGGTTTGGAGCAGTTGACCCAGCTGAAGAAGCTTTTTCTACTTCACAACAAAATTAGCAGCATTTCCAACTTGGAACACTTGACAGGCCTGGAGATGCTGGAGCTGGGTTCCAATCGAATCAGGGTGAGATGTTTGAAGATGGTTAAACCTTTTTATAGATGTTGTGTACATCTTAACGTGTTGCTGTGATGTTAGTGTTAAAAATACTTCATAGGTCAGTAGTGAAGTAATCATGACTCAATTTTAACATGCTTATTTTCTTTCTGTTTAACTTGTTGTGTTCACAGGTTATAGAGAACCTGGATACTCTCGGATCATTGCAAAGTTTGTTTCTTGGCACCAATAAAATAACTAAGTTTCAGAATTTGGAGGGTTTGCACAACCTGACTGTCTTAAGTATTCAGGTAATGCAAATGTTTTTCAGCACTTCATGAGTGTTTCCGAAAATGTAAGTTATGTATGCATATGGACATGTTGGTTAACAACGTTGCGTACATTTATTTTCAGAGTAATCGGATTACTAAAATTGAGGGTATGCAGAACCTTGTCAACCTGAGAGAGCTCTATCTGAGCCACAATGGCATTGAGGTCATCGAGGGCTTGGAGAACAATGTGAGTTATAGAATCTTAATTGCACTATTTCTAAAAGGACTTGATGACAAACTGTCCATCATGCGTTTTGCTAAATGTGAGAACATATACAGAAAGTTAATTCTGTACTTTGTAACACATTGTTTGTTTACCTGCATAGAAAAAGCTCACAACCCTGGACATTGCAGCCAATCGTGTAAGAAACATTGAGAACATCAGTCATCTGACGGAGCTGCAGGAATTCTGGGTATGGATTATTTGTGAAATTATACAAAAAATATTAAACTCTTTTTTTATTATATACTTATGGATTTTAATCTGTAATTTATATATCTGTTTAATTTAAAGTCTCAATAAGTAATGCCAATTAGACTGTATGCACAACAGCAGTGAGTTGGTATTAATCATTTAAATATATAGTGCATATTCTGCTATAGCATCTAAAATGCAACTTATCAATTAATATGTATGTAATAAGTCATCCATCAGTTACTTGTTGACACTTCCTATTTATCAACACTATTTATACAGGACCCAGATGCCTGTGGCAAAAATAATCTGTCAATGTTAAGACTTTTTCACGGGGTTTCCACAGGGTCTTTTAAAGTTAATCGTCTGGATAATAAAACTACAAACATGGAACTGATAATTAAGTCTATAAACATCCTGATCAGAATTTAAAGTCTTACTAATCGTACCTTTTGACTGATTAAACAACAGTTGATTATTTAACACTCTCCCAAAAATGAATTTGTTGTAAAAGTCCTCTGCCATGCAGGACAATGCTAACCGTGTCTTCTCATTGGCTACATTTTCTCCCATTCTCTCCCCAGATGAACGATAATCAAATTGACAACTGGTCAGACCTCGATGAGCTGAAGAACGCCAAGTCTCTGGAGACGGTCTATCTCGAAAGAAACCCGCTACAGAAGGACCCACAGTATCGACGAAAGATCATGCTGGCGCTACCCAGTGTACGCCAGATTGATGCAACCTTCATCCGCTTCTAAACTGCTGTATACGACAAACCTGCCAACTTCACAGTGTTCTCCCTCACCTCTCTCACCTCCCTCACCTCCCTCACCCCTCTCACCTCTCACCTCACTCCCCTGCCTCCCCTGCCTATAGAAACACATTGGCCTCACTGAATCATTATAGTCACTTCATACACAAATATACATTCCAACAATAAACTCCCCCAGGCTCACTCAACATACATGCATGCATGCATGTATGCACTCATTCACACCTTGATCTATACTATTGTTAGGAGGCTAAGTTAATTATTAAGCTGGATATGAGCTGTGAAAGTACCTGAAGCCCATCGCACCCCCACATTTCCTCTGCACTTGTTTTTATTTTATTATTTTGCATGTGTAGGACACTGTATGGAGACATCTCCCTCCTCATTCATACAGTGCCCATTAGCAAAATAAGAAACCAGTCTCATTTACTGCATTGTTGAAGTTGCACTGCGAACATAAGACAGGAAAAGGGTGGCATTGTTAATAGTTGAAGGACTTTATTGTGACTTTATTCCTTCTGGTTGAACAGGATGAGACTGTTCTCACCCCGTACAACAATTAAACACATTAATAGGAGATTCCATGACAAAACATAATTTATGTATTTTAATCTTCGGAATACATACTTATTGTCTTATTTACAAACATGTTTGTCACGGAATCATCTAAAATGAACCCGACGCAGTTCAGTAACGTCCATGTTTTCTAAGGCAAACATATCAGCATAAACTGAAGAGTCATTTTAATGAAGAAGTCTATTCCTTCAAAACAGCTCAGAGGCCGATTTTCTGTTCAACAAGAGGGACTTGTGCAGTAAAATAAAGCTCATGAGAATGTAAGATCATTTTAATGTGTTCATAAAGATTGTTTGTAATCAGTGGTACATCACCCCCGCCCCACTTCTGTACGTCACTGCCCACATTTTGTTTTTCACCCGTGTCCATTGGTTTGCTTTGATTGTTTGTCATCAGGTTTATGCAAAAAGTGCAGAAGCAATTCTTCTACCACTTGGTAGTGGGATTGGTCATAGGCCAGGGAAGAACCCGTGAAATTCTGATGCAGTTCATGTAAGAGGGGTGAATCTAGTAATTTTTATTCACCTTTGTGCTCTGAGTGGTATTGTTTTTTGTAACCTTAAATACATCACTGATAACAACCTTGGTTCTCTTTTGGTCATACATTTTATCTGAAGTGATCACAGGAAAATATCGACTGTTTTTGAAGTATATTCACTGGTGAAGGGCAGAAGTTGACACTAACGAGTGATGTTTCCCAATGTTTGATAAACTTCATGATGTGTGCAGATCCAATTTTTTCGAAATTTACTTTAGACACCACATTGACATGTTCAGTATTAATTCTCCGTTGGTGTTCAGTGTTGCTTAAGTACAGAATACTGATGTACGTATATTGATTGGCCATTTTGCCATGTTGAACCAATAGTGAATGATTTATTCTCTCTTGTATATAACGCTTGAGTGCACTTGATTTATTCCTATTTAAAATTAAAAGGCATCTTTTATATGAAAGTAATTTCCCATCTCAGGTTGAAAAAGGTCACATGTAACAGTGATACAGAAACCTCTGATTTCAGCACAGCACTGGGTCAAAAATTTAAATTACCTGCAAATGAGCTTATAGTGGCCTGAGTGAATACTCAATCAAAGTAACAATGCTTGGTATTATAGAGATATCAGTAGCTAACAGATCTTTTTTCAATGGAATAGAAATTGCGGTTACAAACCTTTTAAATCCAATTCTTCACGGTTAGCAAATTGGACCATAGCTCACCTTGAAAATATTAATTATATTCAAAACGGAGGGACATTATGGTTTACTGATTATCTCCGATATGGATGTACTGTCATTTTATATTTGGGTTTAAATTACTTTACAATTGACCAGTGGGATTGGAGCTGTCACTTTGTGTATTTGTAAATATAGTTTGGACAAGTTATGTAGAAAGTCTGTGCCATTATCACCTTCCCTTTGTAAAGTGTTATCTTTTTTCTTTCTTGTTTACGCCAGGCAGCACAACAGATTGGTGTGAGATACGGTAATAAAAATAACTTGACCTTAAGGGGCCATTGAATGAGCAACTGCTATTAGCTCTCTGTTGTTAGAACTGAGTTTCAGTGTTTGGACTTGGTTGATGCTGTTTTCAAACTGAATGTATTATGCAAATAATAATAAAATTACACAACTTAAGTCTATGTAGCTTTAATGTATAAACTGTTATATTTGTCATGACTGATCGAAGCCAATCTGGATGAAATATTGTTTAAGATGACACTATCAACTCATTTTCTAACGTTCTTCATTTGCAACAAAGAGATCAAAACATAATTATTCAGAAACAGAAAATGCATGTTTGTACAAGGCAGGGGATTTCAATAAAGGTTAGTCGATTCATTAAAAGTCACTTTAAAATGAATTCAAAATAATTGATTATTTGTTTTTTTTAATGTCTTTTATTTTGGTGCCAGTCCATTCTCATTTGTATATGTAAAATTAACCTAAAATGATTAACAACATGATTCATGTAGAAATTTACCCCACCAATTTATGTCAGTGTCTATCACAGATATCTACTCAACACAGAAAATAGTCAGCTAAAGTGACAGGACAGTTAAATAAATATAGATAAATATAAGATACAATAAATTAAACAGTACATACATAAATTCAGTCAAAAAAGGAGATATAACATAATATACGGGGGGAAAAGAAAGAGGTAAAAGCTAATTATTAATTAAAATATGTCATCATGAATTTGGACAGGTTTTTTTTATTTGCAATACTAATTTATGGGTGTGAAAAACGTACTGTACAAAATCAGAAGGTTTATAATGAAGTCAGTGATTCTGCTCTAAAGGTTCAGAGTGTAGAATGTTGTGATATCTAGTGTTGAAGTTGCATGTTGCAGCTGAACAGCCCTCACCTCACCCTCTCCTTCCAAACATGAAAAAGAACCTGTGGTAGCTTCAGTTGTTACAAAAACTCAAAAGGTGTTTAGTTTGTCCAGTCTGCACTAATGTAAAAAACATGGCAGCCTCCGTAGAGAGGGTCCCCTTGATGTAAATATAAAGTATTTAAATATAAAGGACCTTTTCTGGGGTAAAGAAAACTACAATTGATACAATTTAGATGAAACAAACTGGTGAAAACATCATGAGGATTATTCTAAATTAAATTTCTGCCAATAATTTCCTTTCACGTGAATCTCACACACTGGACCTTTAAAACATGTAATAACATTTTCACAGTCAAGCGACCCCTTGAACTACGCGACCCACAATGCATCGCAGACCTGCGCGGTGACGCGTGGGCCTCGCGCCGCGCCAGGCGAAGTGGGGAAAAGGACGGCGCCGCGCATGCGCCACATTTATGTTGTTGTTTGTGGCGGTAAGATGGCGGCGCTCGGAGACGCCTCAGCTCCGGGGATGAATGGGTTAATACAACAATTCACAGCAATAACAGGTGAGAACAACATTTCATTTCAGGTTGGTGCTGCTCAGGAGCTTTGAGTTGAGCAGCAGGAGCAGCTCCCGAGTCCCGAAAACACAGGAAACCAGCGAGCAGGGGAGAGAAGGCACGTTGAGTGTCTGGCCGCTGCGCTGTCAATGCTCCACACACAGGGGGAAAGCAGAGCCACCGATCTGCTTAACTCCGGGGAAACACTCGGGAAATGGAGCAGAAACCCACGAGCTCGGGATCATATCCACCACAGTCACTTAGAAATGTCTGATGACCTGCGTGGTGGTGGTTGAAGACGCTATCTCGCCCGCACTGAGCTGCTTTTCTGTGGGGGTTTCCGCTCTGGCTGCTCGATAAATGTGGAATGGACGTCGGCTCAGAACGTTTCCCTTCTTCATCGGCAGCCAGGCTTCGCGTTGCCTTCACTGTCACCTCCACTCTCGCCGTGCTGCCAGCCACACTGGACACGTTTCTCCGCCTTTCACGGCTCGCTCGCACGACCTGGTGTGTGTTTTTGTGTGTGTGTGTGGACGCTGTTCGAAAGGACGGGTCTGGTTTTATATTTTCAGGTTGAAGTTATTTATCGGAGGAAACAGGAGCCTCAGGTCGGGGGCTGCTACTAGACTCGGGAAGTGTAACGGACATGCGCAGTGCCAGTGGAGGGATCGCTGTATTCAGACTGTGCAGTTCCTCAGTTAAAACACAACGAAAGTTCAACCTCTGATCGTGTTCTCTCAATTGCTTAACTTTATCATTTGTGCCGCCATTGTGTGCATTAATAATCTGAATATATTACACGGCCATTCTGTTTTTTGTTTTCAGCATGTTTTCTCTTATTCGCTCCAGATCGTGTGACCTGTACTTTGCCTTCTTTGTACCAAATCCCAGCGTAGTCCTTTTTAACGTGGTGTTCCCTTGTGGAAGTGGTTTTGCTTTCATTTTAGTTTTGGTAGAAGTTTTACATCAATCAAACTGTATTTAAGTAGCACATTTCAAACAAATCAAATTCAATTCAGAGTGCTTCACAGCTCAAAAACAATCACCCAAAAATGATCACAGTTATGACCCTGGACCTTTTATTGAAGGGCAGTTTTCACAACCTAAAAATCAAGTTTCAAGTTTTTATCTGTCATGTTCAAGTTTACACAAGTTCAGTAGTACAATGAAAGGTGTTGGACAAGAAGAAACAAGTCAGCTCAGCTGTGCAATAGTTAAATTAAAATAAAAGCATGGTACAAAGAACTTACTATAAAAAAGTCAAATACAATACAAGTCAGAATGCGTAGGAGGAATGCTGAAAAAGGTTTGAGGCGAAAATGGTGTAATTCGTCATGGCTGTGTCTATTCAGTGTGCTTGACAGGTAACAATGAATTATAATGAGAACACATTCAGAATTAGAAACTTATGCAGAACCAAGCAAATAATAATAGAGAACAACAATACAAGGAATGATTTATATTTGTCAGCTGGCAGAGATGTTTTTAATACCCTTTATACTGACCTGTATCAGTTTCTTTTATTACTTACAGTGTGTTTGATTGTTGGAAGCAGTGGTGCAAATAATGTATTATCACAGGATTGCTGTATAACACAGTGATAATATTATCTCTATTTATATAGCGCTTCACAAATGAAAAACACATAAGTAGAAATACACAGAAAAAACAGTGAATGTGTGACAGTGTGTGCAGTAATAAAAATAGACTTTGGACAAATCAGGGAATTTTATCCATAGTCTTTAGCTGAGAATCTGTTCCTGACAGAGGATCTCAAAGTGCAAGCAAGGTTGTAAGGGGATGTCAGTTATGTGAATTTATCCATAATCAGTTTCTCAATTGATTGTTTTACACAGCGTGATTGTATCAGTGTAGATTTTAAAGGTACAGAGTGTAGAATTGTGTGATATTTAGTGTTGAAGTTGCATGTTGCAGCTGAACACCCCTCACCCTCCCCTCCCCTCCCAAACATGGAAAAGAACCTGTATTAGCCTTCAGTTGTCATAATAACTCAAAGGGTGTTTAGTTTGTCCAGTCTGGACTAATGTAAAAAACATAGCGGCCATCATAGAGAGGACCCCCTCGATGTAAATATTTAAGTATTTAAATATAAAAGGCCTTTTCTGGGCTAAAGAAAACTACAATTGATACAGTTTAGATGAAACAAAGTAGTGAAAACATCATGAGGATTATTCTACATTAAATAGGTCCCTTTCACCTAAATCTTACACACTGGACATTTAAGTCTTACATCTTGATAAAGAAGTAAAAGTAGTCAATGGGCTACATTGTTCTGCATGTTTAAACTCTGGCACTGAATGAATTACATGGATCTTGTGAATGTTGACACATTTACTTGTGCAGTTTTATGGACATGTGTTTCTGAATATCAACATGTCTGTGTCCTCCTCTAGGAGCCACAGAGAGTGTCGGGAAGCATATGTTGGAAGCATGCAACAACAACCTGGAGATGGCGGTGACCATGTTCCTGGATGGAGGCGCAATAGCAGAGGAGCCCAGCACCAGCTCCAGTTCAGCAGCTTCAAGCAGCAGAGCTCCACCTGAAGAGTAAGTTCATACCTTTCTTCATAAACTTATTTCAGTTTTAAGATACACTGTCTTTTTTTATAGTGCTCCATAAATGTCTCTGCTACTTCAGAGTTGGAGGGAAATTTGGTATTCAAGGCACTGGGTGATTTGGATAATGCTGGGTGGTTAAATCAAATCAGAGACTGTATCATTATAGGTTAACATCAACGTTTGGTCTAGATTGTTAATCATTTTTTTGATTCATATTTGTTGCCATAGTGAAGTACGAGCACCCATTCCACAGAAGCAGGACATATTGGTGGAACCGGAACCACTGTTTGGAGGTATTGTACTGCTCTTTGCCTTATTCCATCTCATGTTAATAGATCTGAATCTAAACTGCTCTTTTTACTGGCTCTGCTGTTTCAATCATCCGATGAGTGTGACTTTTGATGTGTCTGTTACATGTGCAGTGCCAAAGCGAAGACGACCTGCTCGATCAATATTTGATGGTTTCAGAGACTTCCAAACAGAAACAAGTGAGTAATATTACAGTTTTCCGAGCTTATGAAATGAAACAATTCATTACAATGTCTAAAACCAACTGGACTTGTGATATATATTAAGTGGACTTGACTCACTTACAATTTTATTCAAGCAAACAGGACATTTCATTTTGGTCGCCTTTTAATTACGTGGCTTTGTCCATCTCTGCTATAACCTCTAGGGCAAATGACACATGATGAAGGAAAAAGCCATTATTTTTCCCTCCACTGTTTGTACCCCTAGCAGCCAAAGTTGCATATTGTACATTAAACCAAAACACAGCCAACAGTAAGTGTCCATTTTAAAAGGTTAATGAATCTGATTGGTAATGAACAGGGTATAAATGAATGTTGCATAATAACAACCTACAACAACCAATTGACAAAATCCGTATTTTCTCACTGAAGCTTTCTATGGCTGTGCCTTTACCTTCTGTGATGACTGTGCATGTTTTTCTCTTCCTAGTCCGCCAGGAACAGGAGCTGCGTAACGGTGGGACAGTGGATAAGAAACTTAGCACCCTGGCAGACCTTTTCCGTCCTCCCATTGAGCTCATGCACAAAGGCAGCTTTGAGACGGTAAGAAGTCGCTAACTGGACACATTACACTGCAGGTCTTTCTTCATCTTGTGTGAACTTTTCATGATATTTCACAAGGATCACAGGGAGAAAGGTCAGGAGTATGCAGGTTGTCAATTTTGTAATGACAGTGTAATTCACTCACTGGTATTTGTTAAATCAGCTGTTAGAGACATGGTCCCCCATGATAAATGAGCACATACTGATCACTGATGTCGATGGTTATGACCGTTCTCCACAAAGGAAAAACTTCACCTTATGATACAACCCAATTTCCAAATCAGTTTGGTTCTTAAAATGACCAGCTTTAGTAATCTCACCATTTGCTATTTATAAAATCAAATTAATTAAATGTGTTGTTTTGTTCATTCTGTATTTTCTCTTTTGTGTTTACAGGCAAAAGACTGTGGGCAGCTGGAGAACAAGTGGCTAATGATCAACATTCAAAATGTTCAGGACTTCGCCTGTCAGTGCCTGAACAGAGATGTTTGGAGTAACGATGCAGTGAAGACCATAATCAGAGAGCACTTCATTTTCTGGCAGGTATGTGGTTTTAAAACTCTTAATTTTCATTTTTTTGCTCCAGGGTTTCCAAGATTTAACTGATGTGATATAAAAACAAATTGAAGTTAATGATCCATGCACAAAAAGTGGATAATCAGCAGTACAAATAGAAACACAACAAGACGAGAGGTCATCTAATAGGCCCTTGGAGCAAAACTACTTCTTCACTATAGTTGCTTGCATTGCTAGTTTGATACGGAACAACATACACTAAAACTTTCATATGGCCCTTTTAAGCAAAGGTACATTGAATATTAGAAACAGTGCATCACCCAGAGACAGTATATCCTACGTGCTGCAAGATGAGGCGACAAAGTTGGTAAATCACAGAAAAGAAGATGTGAGTCTCTCTGTGTTTTTACTCTGTATCTTCATTAAATTTTCTATTTCTGTCATTACAGGTTTATCACGATAGTGAAGAGGGACAAAGATACATTCAGTTTTATAAGCTGAACAAGTTTCCCTACATTTCCATCCTCGACCCCCGGACTGGTGAGCAGAGAGTTCATGTGAATTGAGGCAGTGATATTGCATTTGGGCTACCTGGTATTTAGAAGTCAGTAAATGCACAGAAGACTGATTAGAAAGCTTAAAGAACAAGTGTCACACACTCTGCTCTGATAGATCTCTCAGGTATATTTTTCTAATTTGACAACATATATTTCTTGCTTGTATAACTGAGAAGATGAGATGTTGCATTATGGGGAAGTAATTTAATTGTGGGATGCAACACCATTGTAACAATAGTAATGTGTGTCCTTGATCCTTGTATCATTATTCTCAATAGCTAGGACTTTTTTAAAACTCTGCTATCATCTGTGTGACAGTACAAACAGAATAAAACTTAGTTAAACAGCTAATGCTAAACCTGAGAATGTTTTAATCTGCAAATGGAAAATATTTGAGGGGAACTGCATAAACCTACATGAGCAGTATATTCCCAGATTTTTTAAGCTTCAGATTGTGTCCATAGTTCTTGGGATGCAAAATACCCTCAAAAATGTATTTTGACTATGATCAATATAAGCTTTATTGTCTTTCTAGTCCTATTGTTGGTGGAGTTATCTTGGAAAAAGTCTTTCTCTGACTGTATATTTTTGTTGACCTTGACCTTTGACCAATCAGCTTACTCAAACTCTGGAGTGAAAACATACCTTGCTCGCGCAGCCAAGTCAGAGCATAGGGAAACTAGTTCCATTTTAATGCATTTGAAACATGACCTGTCAGTTTCATTCTTTGCCTGTATAATGTTCTCTAAATTAATTTATTTACTGACCTTTCTAGGACAAAAAATGGTGGAGTGGAACCAGCTAGATGTGGCATCGTTCTTGGAGCAAGTGACCGGCTTCCTGGCAGAGCACGGGCAGCTTGACGGGCCATCCTGCCACGCACCTCCTGCCAAACGGGCTCGCTCTGTGGGTCTCTCGTCCTTTGTGTCCCCTCTAATCCTCATTTTATTTCTTCTTCACAGTTTCTTCTTCTGTGGCAACTCTTAGCAGTTGTAGAGCCATCATCTGAGACTTGGGTCATCAATATGTTGTCATTTTCTCCTGCTGGCAGTAATGGATGCATGACATGTAGAAGATGGATAGATTAACAGCATGGTCTACCTGCTTAGTCATTAATATTTCTATGAATTCGCATCCATCTTATCACCCCCTTTTATATTACCCAGCTTGTTTTCTACAGCTGCACTATCTTTTTGTTTCTAGGAGAGTCTGATAGATGCCAGTGAAGACAGTCAGCTGGAGGCAGCAATCCGAGCCTCCCTACAGGAGACCCACTACGAGTCTTCAAATGTCCCAGAAGTTCCTGATTCCCCTCGATCAGATGACGAATCGGATGCAGAACCTTTCTCTGACAGCGAGGGTCCTATCTCTGTTGATGGCTCAGACAGTGAAACGCCAGCACCCCATGAAGAGAAAAGTTCTACCAGCAAGCATGCTACGGTCCCTTCAGCCACAGTGGCACAGCAGCGTCTACATCCCGACAGTTCGACTTCCTCCCACAGAAAGTCTCCATACAAAGAAAACAACCACAGTCACAAGAAAGAGGAGAGCAAAAAGAACCACCTGGAGCCCTCGGCTGCTGGTCCTCGTCATCCTCAACCTGGCCCAGATTCAGGGGACAACCACTGTCCCTCGGCAGCAGAAAACGCTGGAGTGGCGAAGACCAGCACCACCAACGCCTCTGACGTGGACTGTCCTGATGACAATGGTACGAGTGTCTAAAATCTTAACCTGATACAGCTGTGATGAGTATGAGGGTGGGTTTGTATCAGAGTGGAAAAAGTCAGTCTGTGTCTTTAGCTTGCAGACAGACTCCTCTCAAAATGTGTGTCAACAGTTAATTAATGAGAACTCAACTTCTAAAGCCTGCTGCATACTAGAGGATTATCACATCTCATAAAAATAAAAATATGGGAGACCACAGACGTACTGACAAGTCTAACCAATGGTTTATCCCTTGATAATGAAAACACACACACACACACACACTAGACGATGCAGGACCTCACACTAACACATGTAAACAAAGGAATTCTGAGACTCAAATCCAGATACGTTACAAACACACACACACACACTATTCCTTCATCAGACGTGATTTAAGAATAAAAACAAACATGGCTGTCATGGTCATCTGGTTGTGCCAGTTTGTTTTTTATCCTGTTTGTATGAAACATTTCACAAACACTCGTACCGTTGCTACAATTCTCCAAGTTTGTTGTCCTGTTCTACCGTTCACCTAGTACAGGAAATAAAAGTCTTAGTTCAAAACACTCATGCGCGCAATCAAGTTGATGACGCCTACTGGTCAGCTCGCTCTCATTGCTTACTGTGGGCCTCTGCTTGTTTGCCCCATCACTGTTCTTTTCATACTATACGAGTCCCTTTAAATGCACATCTTAAATATCGAACACGTACTAGGACTCGATAATCCTCTGTGCAGAAGAGCATTTGGCTCTGTCAGCCTCTGCTAAAGTATTCAGCAGCACTCAGTAAGAACTGGAGCATGCCCTTTTTAGAATTTCCAATTTAGAATTTCCAGACTTAATTTTGGTTGTTTTTCATGTCATTTGTTTTTTTCTCCTCTTTTCCCTGCATAGGTCCCAAAGCCAGGTTGATGCTCCGTTACCCAGATGGACAGAGAGAGCAAATTTCCTTGTCTTCTAAAGCAAAACTTTTGGTGAGAACACACCCTGGCAATTTCATTCATCATCACTTCACCTGGCATTCTGTGGTTGGGGAAATGTGACAGACATGTTGCTTTAAAAATCTAAGAGCAAAAGTAAAAATGGAGAAGAGCTGAAGCTGGAGCACAAGAAAGGGTATATTTGAGTGAGATCACAGGTTGAGAGTGAAAGCATTAAAAAAACCTGAGCATGCTCTCAAACTGAACCACCATGCTCTTGAATAAAGATACGAAACAGTCCTCCATAGCAAGGTACCATAGAGTTGCTGGTAGAGGGCTTTATTTTAACCAGGCTAGCTGTTCCTCCTGTTTCCAGTCTTTATGCTAAGCTAAGTAAACAACAGCTTGTCTCAGCTTCATATTTATTGTAGTCAAATAAATGGGATCATTCTGTATATCACATGATAAATGATTTTGACTCCTGGTTTATCACTCTCTTTTCAAGGCGCTGGTAAGACACGTCCAGTCCAAAGGATACCCTAATGAACGCTTCGAACTCGTCACCAACTTTCCTAGAAGGAAGCTTGCCCACTTGGACTATGACATCACGCTGCAGGAGGCGGGACTTTGTCCACAGGAGACTGTATTTGTGCAGGAGAGGAACTAGCCTTTAATCAGACACACTCACTTTTTGCTCCTCTGTATCTCTCTGGTAGATCTCACCCTTTCACCAATCATCTGGGACGATGTTATTGGCCTTGATCCCGTAACCTTCTGTTCTCCTGGAATTAGGCCCTGTTTTTTATTTTTTTATATTTTTTGCCAAGACAACTCGTAGTGGATGGACTTCTTTCCCCGCCACTCTACTAGTCTGAATAATGACATCTCTACTGACAGCCTAATCCCTTTGTAGTGCTCTACCACTGGCCAGTAAAGTGTTGCAGACTCCGGCATTTAAATGTGATATATTCTGTTCTGAAGCAGGCTGCAGTTCTTTATGATCACTCAGGCACATCAGGATAGAATATATATAATATAGCTCATATTCAACTTAAAAAAACCAAACAATGGATCTCAAATTTATGATGAGGCACCAGGGACTTGTAAAAAATGTCAAGAGTTTATTTTCTGCTTGTTATTTCCTGTACCTGGAGATTTGTTGTTCATTCTGTCCCTAAATTTGGTCTCTGACTCGGACATTGTTTGAACAATTATAATTATTTGGACAGCAGGGGCACTCAGAAAAAATGTCTACAAACTACAAACCAAGACATTTTTCCACCATCAGTGACACACTTGTGTAGGTCTGAGAGGATTCGGGCTGATCTACACATTTTTATTCAAGTTTCTATTAGAGACTAGTAGATTGTTTTTTGGATTTCAACTTTTGATACAGAAAGGAATCAATGAAGGGTGGTCTCATCAGTCGGACCTACACTGTACAGAGATGGCTTAGAGAGACTGGTATTTAGCTGTAGTCTTTGTTTCTTTTCTGTTTTTTTATATGCTGCCAAGAAAATATGCTGATGTTGAAATATAACCACCAAAACAAAGGGAGATTCTGCTTGGTCTTTTGTTAATTTACTTTACTCTAATTAACTGGTTATTGAAAGAAACCTCATAACTTCAGTGTCACTTACGTTAAAAAACCAAAGCATTAATAAAACTATGGCGTTCAGTAGAGCGTGTACCTCCACCAAGGCCCAACAGTCCCCTTAAACTGAAACGTCTTAAAGCCACACACTGGTGACGGTTACAGGTTTCTAGCCCTATTCATTTCCATACTGCAGCTGAAAAAGCCCCCGATGAAACCACATCTATATTCACAAGATCCAGATTTTTATAAAGAGCTGCGAAATGTTGTAAAAACACTGATATGGCAAATTTTTTCATGCATTATTTTCAGTACTGGCCAGTAGCGGTTGAATGCTAACATTAGCTGTTGTCTCATGTTAGCTATAGAGCTATTAAATATATCGTTCAACAAGGTGTCTTGTCCCCCACAGATTTTAACTTTCCATTGTCTTTTCAGTTGTTGTTGATTTAGGAGGCAGTAAAATGAAAATTATTCTCTGTGTTGATATGACTTATAAACATGGATCCCAGCAGAACAAAATTTGATCTGCTCATAACACCTTCGAGCATGATCTCACAGGAAAATAACCAGTGTCTCCTCAATGAAACAGGACAATAGCTGTATAAGGAGGAGAGATTTCCACACATCAGCCAACTAGTTTTATCTGGTCCCATGACAAGGTCCGAAGCACATAGTTATGATTTCAGTTGTGTAATGAATTGCAGGTATCAACCTTTTCAAACCTGTCGCAGTTACACTCAGTTCTTCACATGGACAGTTGGTGGTGACAATGTGCCTCGAAGGTGACAAATATGGAGTCTGTCTTATGCAGGTTCCAAAATGTTTCAATAAGCTTTTTAAATGTTAAACAGGGTAGGAAATGCTGCAGGTACAGTTTGTTCTGCAAACTGTACTGATCAACAACATCTTTCACAGTGAACCTCAAGTCTAAGTTGTTGTCACCTCTGCTGAGAAGCTGGGTCCTCTCCTGATATTTTTCTGTTTCAAAGTTTATTTTCAAGCTCTCTGTGATGTGCACTCCCACATTAGTTTGCTGGTGCCAGAATAAGCTATGGGGTAAAATGTCAGCTATTCAAATACATGTTTGATTACAGGAATTAAATTCATGTTTTGTGTTCCCTTTTCAAGATGAGGGCCTCTACTAATAATAGTCACAGTGTGTGTACAGGGCAACGGTCAGAGGTGAAAGAAGAAGTCACGCAACTGAACAAACAGATGAGGACACTGACTCTGTTCTACTCCCCTCGCTGTGAGGATACTGCAGATTGCTTCATCACCAGTTTTTTTTTTTTTGTATGTTTGTGCGTAACAGACTAAAGGTGGGTAAATGTGCTGGCAAAGGACAGTGAAGAATAAATGAGAACTTTCCATCTATTTAACCCATAACATCCTTCTTTTGCCCTGATTAGGTGATTTAAAGATTTACACTTTAAACGTGAGATGTAACTAATAGGTGCATTGCCATTGTTTTGTGTGTGTTTATTAGCAGGGTAATGCAAAAACAACTAGACGGATTACCATGAAACTTGGTGAAGGGATGCAGTACAGGTCAGGACAGAAGCCATAAACCTTTGGTATGGATATGGATCAGGGGGCGGATCCAGGATTTCTTTTCACTTTCTTTATTATCATTGTGAGCTAGGCCTCCTCAACATTTTCATTGATTTCTCAGAATAATTCATGGATCTTGATGAAAAACTGAGTGTTTGCAATTTGGTGAAGATCCAAATGAAAAACTGGATCTAATGAATTTAAATGTGATTTCATAAGTGGACTGTTGGGCCTTGACCAAAGTTTGAACTCTGCTGAGTGTCATTCTAGTTTTTTTTTTTTTTTTACACTGTAGCATCTGGAATTCAGGTTCTAGTAGAAAATCAGAGGAACAAAATATCAACTCAGTGGATTATTCACAATAGTTATGGATAATATACACCCAACTGATTTTCAGAGCTCTTTTAAATCCTGCTTTTCCTCGCCAGTGCTGAAAGGTTAATGAGGGAACTGGGGCAGTAGCCTCAGACCTGGTTTGTTTGATGGGTTGTGTGTTGCATAAGAAGGATGTCAGTCCTTTGCAGCAAGTTCTCAGAAATAAGTCAATGGATGTTAATGAGTGATCAGTGAGCCACCATCACACCACTGAATTTTGCTCAGCCTCTAAAAGCAGTTGTGTAACATCTGGACCCTAATCATGTCATTTGAGTTGATTTAATCATTTAAAATGTTTATTTCGTTCATTTGTTTTGAGCTCAATGTGCGGCAATAGGAAGCTTGGATATGGTGTGGTGTTTGGAAGAAGGGAGCATTTACGATTGAGGGTAGGGTCTAATACAGGACGCTATTTAGTTTAGCTATGGGAAATGTAGGAATTGTACTTTTCTGCCCACACTAGAGACCTCTGTACACAGATGACAAGAGCCATAGAGAAGCATGGTTGTGGAAGGAGAATGTGTTGAATCATCAGTCTGGCTGGTAAAGTCTAGTCTGAGGACATGCCTCCCTCCACACACCTCGAACCTGACAGGTGCTGTGGTAGAAAGTAACATTACTCAAATGCTGCACATACATAAGCCAGATGTGTGTGTGTTTTAAAGGCCCTGGTCATGTATATTATGATGTGATGGACATAGATGGATGTTAGGTGATCATCACCATCTGAGGATTATGTCACAGTAGACTCCCAGAGGTACATTTGACTTCTTCTTCTTCCAAATGTAAAATACGTACACTGACGTAATCAGAACAAGCTCATGAAAAAACGGACTGAGAATATGCGTATATCCAATCCATAATGCCTTGTTTAACCCCCTGCTCTGCGTGTCACAGGCCAACAATCACTGATGATAAGCTTACTTGATAAAGCCCAGTCAGGATGGCCTTATGGACCTGTGTCAGACAGCTTGATAAGAAAGTTTAGATTATTTCAAATTATTGATGAGCGAAATATTCTCATTTACTTATTAACTAGAAACTTGAATCCAAAACCAGAATTGTTGTACAAATCGTTTTATTCTGGAAAGATGGGTTTTTTTTTTTAAATGACACTGTAAGAAAAGAAAACAGCATTATTTTATTTGAATAAATAATGTATGTAGTGAATGTCAACTTGTGCAATGAACACGGGATAATGATATTGCCTACTGTGTTAGCAGGCGGTGTCTCTAACACCAACACTGTTGATTGAAGTGTCAGCAGATGGACAAAGGCACAGTAATCTCTGACTGTTCAGAAATATAGATTCACAAAGCAGATGGTCAGAGAAAACAGTCAATCCCAATTCATAGTCATTCATTTCAAAATTTCAATCAAAAAGGAAAATCGAATAAAGAAGGAAATGCCGACTGATGAGTTTGAATAATGGGTGCGAGGAATCTAATTGTAAACAGATGTGAGGCGAGGAGACCTGGTCAGGTGATGAGCTATTGAGGAATTGGTGGACGGGTGAGGAATAGCAGGCTCTGTTGCCAACATGCTTTCTCGATTAAGAAATCCAGTCATATCATATTGGATCAAACGATTTCAGACAACTAACCTGTAATGTTTGAATACAGCCCCAAAAATGTGCTGCTATTACCAGACTGTGTGATTTGCGTTGGCAAACTTTTAATTTTTACCATTGCAGCAAACACATTCAAGCTACTAGGAGTTAAACATTTTTAATTCTGATAGTCTGGATCTTAAGCCGTTTTCAGACATAACCTCCAGGTAAAACCAGGAGTTTACCTAGAATTTGCCTTTCACACATGCACAATGCAGCAACATTGTCCCATGTTAGAAGTGTCATCAACCCAACACCTCGAGTTGATCCAGACACTGACCTTTGACTGATCAGCTCCACCTTGAACTACCCTCGGAGAATATTTCCAGCAACACACGCACACAGACTGGGGTAATGCAAGGTAATGAGCACTAAGAGTACAACACAGTGCAGTGAACAGGGTTAAAGAGATGGGCACAGAGAAAACTACTGGCACGGAGAACATCGCCATCACCGTTATGACTCACAAAGGTTTAGGATGCAGTATCGTGCTGTCCTTATTAAGGGCTGTAATTAATTAAAACATCTGACTAATCATTTCAGTTATCTTAAGCGTGGATCGGTATTTATTCTTTCTTTGGTAAAAATACAGGACCATTGTCCTAGAAGTGAAATCCACCCAGTCTTCCAGTATCATCTTAGATCAAAGTCTGCTGAAAAATACAAAATCAATCATAAAAGTTACAGTAACATACAGTTATAGTAACATTTCAGTATTTAGCAGGTGGCAACAAAAGAGTAGGAGTAATTGGTTCTATTCATAAATCAACATGAACTTAAGCTCTTGTGTTGGTCAATATTGACTCTGTAAACATGACTGGTTTTACGAAATTGATTTTAAAAAGTGATACAGTATTCTAAATACTTTTGATAAAACATCATCCCCTCTAAAGTGCATTATTCTGTTTTAATAAGCTGGTGACAGCACAATAATGAAATCATGTAATTTTAAGATAAGGGTCTTGCACATTAGATGAAGAGTAGGTAGCATTTGGAAAAAAAAGAGAGGGAGAAAGGAGAAAGGAATAAAAGACAAAGCACATGGAAACACTGTAAAAATAAAATAAAAATCTAAAATGTGTGACAGCAGGTTTAAAATACAACTTTGACAGCAAATGCTTGATCAGAAAAATCGTGAATGTTTGGATCCTGCACATAGGCATGTAGATCTGTTGAAATGCTTTACTTCGTGGTGTATTATTGTCCTGCTGGATGAGTTCATACAACCTCGCTTGTTTGACAGTTTGCGTCAGTGCCTTTCCAGTGTGAGGACATTTCGGACACTTCTTTTTTCTGCCATCAGTACACAGGCGCGTGCACACATTAGGAAACCTGAGCAAACTGTGTTTTTTTTTTGTTTTTTTTGCAGTGAGGTTTGCTATAAAAAGCCTGAGCCTCCTCTCTGTTGCTCTACTCTTTGCTGACCCGCAGGAGACCCAGCCGCCAGACATGAAGCCCCTCCTGCTCCTGCCGCTGCTCGGATGCCTCGGTAAAGACTTCTTTTTTTTTTATTGTGCACACGCCTCTTTCATCATTGCATCTTTTGCTGATTTATTCATTCAATCATCTGCATTGACAGCCACCATCGCCTCCTGCATCGACACCGTGAAGTGGTGCGTCACGTCGACGAAAGAGAATCTGAAGTGTAATGACCTGGCTGCTGCGGCCCCGGTCTTCTCCTGTGTGGCGAGGGCCAGCATCACGGACTGTCTGACCGCCATCAAGGTGCCAACACTCACAAATCACCCGCAACATCACTGCAGCTGCCCGGAGCATTTCTCCACTGCTTCCTTCAGCACACTGTGAATGATCTGTTTCATTGTATTTCAGTCAACCAAATTCAGATTTCATTTCACTGAATAAGTGGTGAATGGAGGATTCAGATCCTTAAGTAAAAGAGTCGACACCAAAGTAACCCGATGATGTAAAATCTGATATAGGCTGATATTTGTTTTATTGTTATTATTATGATTATTAAAGATGATGACGATTATTATTATCATTTTGATTTCTACTGTAAAATTAGTTAAATTGGAGATATTGCTTTACTTCATACTGATTTAAAATCTTTGCAAAATAACTATGAACAACTGTAAAATATATTTTCTCCTGGAATGTAGTTGAGACATGTAAATTGACATCGAATTAGAGTTTTCAAGCAAAGATACATGCAACATTATACAAAAGATCAGTGACTGAATACCAATGAAACAGTCATGGGTGGTAAAGATCTTTTTTTTTGTAATAGGCTGGTGAGGCAGATGCCATCACTTTAGATGGAGGGGAAATCTACACTGCTGGACTGGATGAGTACAAACTGCATCCCATTATTGCTGAGCAGTACGGCACCTGTATGTTTACCAATCAGCTCTCTTAACTGTCAAAATAAGCAGGATTCCAAGGATGTTTTGTATTTTGTCTGCACTATGTGTTTTAACTTTTTGTGCACAATCGTTGGGTGTGCTTCTAGCTACAGACACCTGTTACTACGCTGTTGCCGTGGCGAAGAAAAACACAGGATTTGGCTTACATCAACTAATGGGGAAGAAATCTTGCCATACTGGGGTGGGGAAATCTGCCGGCTGGAACATTCCCATAGGAACTCTGCTGTCCATGGACTTCATTAAGTGGAAAGGCAGTGATGACAAAAAGTTGGAGGAGGGTGAGTTTGATGTTTTCACACAATGCTCAGAAAACAGTAAAGTTTCCCAGACACTTTACAACCACAACACGGTTACAGGTGCAATATGCCTCCATCAGATTTTTAGTTATTCATTTGAGAAGGAAAAAAACTGAAAAGGCTGTCGTGTAAATACCAAATAATAGAAGAATGTTGACACACTGACACTGTTATTTTGGGGTAGGGGCGGAGGTGAGTTGCTGGGACTCTGTGTTTTAATAAAATTTTGTTTTGCAGTGGTGGGCGAGTTCTTCCACTCCAGCTGTGCTCCAGGGGCAACAGACAGCGCAAATCTGTGCAAGCTGTGCATAGGAGACTGCAGCAAGTCCTCAGAGACTGAGCCTTATTATAATTACCACGGGGCATTCCAGTCAGTATGAGTTTCTTTCTTTGATCTGTCCCAGTTAACTTGACTTTTACTGCCCTATCCTCTCTGTGGAAATACACAACACTACTGGGATGACTCTGATGCATGTCTATTGTTTAACAGGTGTCTGAAAGACGGAAAAGGAGATGTAGCTTTTGTGAAGCATCTCACTGTCCCTGGTCAGTGTGACACAATCATCCATCCTAACATTTCATGAATTATTGAATTATACGATTTAAGAATTGTTCTATTACAGTCAAATGTCTTTTTGCAAAAAACTCAATTTACATTTAGATTCAAAAACACAAATAAGATTCTCACTCCCTAACTGATATCCACATGAGCAAACTACTCCTTTGCTAAGTAAAACTTCTCAGTGTGAGGATAGTTTTGTGGTTTATTTGGAACTGTAAGATTTAAACAGACATTAAAAAACATTTAAAAATGTTTTTAAAATCTTTCAGAGGAAGAAAAGAACGACTATGAGCTGTTGTGCAAGGATAACACCAGGAAGCCCATAGACCAGTTTGAGAACTGCAACCTTGCCAAGGTTCCAAGTCATGCCGTTGTCACTCGCAAGGACAACGAAGAGCTGGCGCAATTCATCTGGCAAAGCCTCAGCTCAGTAAAGGTAACGTAGCACCAACACTGAGCTGTAAAGTTCACGGGATAGTGATTCATTACCTCCACCAAGGACGTTGAAAAGATGAGGCATGAGCCAAGAAAGAAACCATTGAATTTGATGAGGATCGAGACAAAGGGTCGGATCCAGGATTTTTGTTTGTTTGTTTTGACATTTTCAGCGATTCTCGATAGAAAAATTCATGGATCTGGCACATTAAGGGAACTGATGTTTAAGTTTGTGCAACTTGCTGCAGCTTGACTGAATATCATAAGAAGACTGTGAGGTATACGCCTGAACATATGTTTGTTTGCGTTTTTTCAGAACTTTAACCTTTTCTCGTCGACACCCTACGGTGGAAAGAACCTGATGTTCAAGGACTCAACAACAACATTAGTGCAGCTGCCCCTGAACGTAGATCACACCATGTATCTGGGTCCTCACTACTTAGAAAGCGTCAAAGCCCTTAAGAAAGGTACGTTAAACACGAGCAGATAAAACACATGACTGACATTCATAACAACCAGAGAAGCACATATATTGACTGCAGCCACTGGTTTATGATTACATCTTACTTCACTTCCCAGTTAATATCCCAAGCACCACGTCAGACGCCATGAAATGGTGTGCTGTGGGCCGCAGTGAGTCCGACAAGTGTGACAGTTGGAGCGTTGCCAGTTTGGTTCAAGATGGCACCACGATTGATTGCATCAAAGGCAACACAGTTGATGATTGCCTGAAAAAGATTATGGTAAAACCATCCTGGCTGAAACATACAAATCTTTTTACAATATTTTTGCTTCATATTGTGTCATGAGTGAATTTCTGTTCTGCCTAAATCGCCCGCAGCATAAAGAGGCCGATGCAATGGCAGTGGATGGAGGTCAGGTGTACACAGCTGGAAAGTGTGGTCTGGTTCCTGCTATGGTGGAGCAGTATGATCAAGGTCAGATGGCCGCACTGAAAATAAACTTATACACTGTGTTTTTACTCCACATTTATTGACCTGAGTAATATTTGCATGTCTGTCTCTACGCAGGACAGTGCAGTGCTCCTGGAGGTAATAAACCAGTTTCTTTCTCTTCTTTCTACACATCCGGTACTTGAAATGAAACAAAGACATGAGGAAATATCCAACTATTAACACTATTGGGTTTTTAATCAATGTATCTATTTCCTAATCATTTCCTGTGAATCTCCATGTGAATATTAATTCAAAGAAAGTTATTCTCCATAGATCTTTTAATTTAACCTGCCTGTGGTAAAATGTTGACTGCACTATTTACTGAAGGTGAGCTTTAGGTGAAATTAGTTAATTAATTATGGTAGTTTTCTGATCAAGGTCTTTCTATCCCTCCACTCTTGTAGCCGCAGGCTCCTATTACTATGCTGTCGCTGTGATAAAGAAAGGTTCAGGGGTGACCTGGGAAAACCTGAGAAACAAGAGGTCCTGCCACACAGGCATAGGAAGAAACGCTGGCTGGAACATCCCAATGGGTCTCATCTATGAACAAACTAAAAACTGCAACTTCTGTGAGTAACCATTGGTTTATTCAAGCAAAGCACCCGCTTAGACCATTAGGCTAACTCTACTGCTAAGAACTATGTTTAAGTTCTAATTCTAATAACACTTGGTTAAGTCTAAAAAGAAACATCTTTCACAAAACTAAGCAAAACTGTTGATGTAGCCAAAATGTATTTGGCAAAAACTATTGTGCATGAATGTAATTGTTGAGCTGTTTTTTTTTGCAGACCTCTAAATTTAACACCAACACAACTCTCAGCTGCTTTTTTCAGTAGTAGCTGTGCCCCTGGAGCCGACCCCAGCTCTCAGCTCTGTGCTCAGTGTGCTGGCAATGCCGAATCTATAAACAAGTGCAAAGCCAGTAATGAAGAGAGGTACTACGGCTACGCTGGAGCTTTTAGGTAAGAAGCATTACTGCAGTTATTCTCAGCGACTGTACATGTACTGTATATTAAAGTAATAGTTTGAATACTTGATACCACAGATAATACTTACTAGTATTACTACTAATGTTGCAAGCATAGATTGGCAGAATTTAGTCAGCACTGGAGTGTGGTCTTGTTGTATCAATTATCATCCTGATACTGGGGGAATAACACTGGAGGTGAGTGCACATACCATGTAGGAATGCTGAGTCCTTACTGCAGCAGTTTGGGTTTGAATTTGGCCTGAATGTAGACGTTCTCTAATCCCTTAAATTACCCTTAATCCACGTCATCATGTACGGCACTCTGAATGTTTCTCTCTTCCTTTGATTATTCTTCCACCGCTCCCTGGGAACATCCTCTCCATATATGTTGTGCCTGTTATTACAGATGTCTTGCAGAAGGTAAAGGCGATGTAGCCTTTGTCAAACACTCGATCGTCAAAGAAAACACAGATGGTAAGCAACTGATGCTGACCAACTCTTGCATCTACGACAGTGTTGTTTCCGATAAAGCTGCAAGTTCTTCCATCCCTCTATTTCCTTTTCTTCTTCTCTTCCATCCCTCCTCCTCTTGTCAAAGGTCAGGGACCAGAGTGGGCCAAAGCTTTCCTGTCCAATGACTATGAGCTGATCTGCCCTAGCAAAGGCCCAGTGTCAGTCGAGAATTTCATGTCCTGCAACTTGGCTAAAGTGAACGCACACGCTGTGGTGACCCGTCCTGAGATCCGCACCAAGGTGGTCACCTTCCTGAACAATCAGCAGGTCAGTGATTCATTTTCAGGTTTCTTCTAGTTTTTGGTTGTTTGCACTGTATGGACTAGCTTTAGAGATGTTTAGAGACAAGTTCGTTGGGACTATAAGGTAGAACATTTCCATTTTATCACTTCATTGTTAGTGTTAAGAATTTTTTTTTAGCAACCGATGTTGGATCATCATAATTTGGCTTCTGTAAAACTATCCTCTGTCCTTAACCATACCACAATCTATCTCTTCTTTTTTTTTACTGTAATGGCTGCTTTATTTATCTATTTATTTGTTAATGTTTTATTTATTTCTTTGGTCAAATTTTGTCCTTGTTTGCACCCAGAATAAATCATATTGTCAAATACTTTACTATGTCGACAGTGACAGTTTTTTTTCACTGTGGCAGGAGATGAGTGAATTGATTTGTTTTGAAATTCACTTTAACTTTCAACAGTACTTTATTGCCTTTTGATTTTCGACTCTGGTATGCATGTATAAATGACTTAATTTAAAAAGATATGATAACATCTAAATTTTGCTGTGTATTTTTAGAGCCATTTTGGAAACAGTGCCAGCGAAGAATCGTTCAAAATGTTCACGTCGCCAGATGGAGAGAACCTCCTCTTCAAGTACTCCACTAAATGTCTCCAGGAGATTCCAGCTCATTTGGACTATAAAGGGTTTTTGGGACAAGAGTACATGACAGTCATGAGTTCACTTAGAACTTGCAAAGAATCCACCTCAGGTTTGTACTGCTGGAGGTTGATTAAAGATTAATGGGACAGAAATTTGACAGATAAACAACAGCCTAGACACTTAAAACTGTAAAAATGTAATTTATGCTCTGCATTCACATGTGACTTTTTTGTGTTTTTCTGTTTCTGACAGATCTGGAACAGCTTTGCACTTACAATATGTGTCAGACCTAGTGGTGATCATGGACTCAGTGATTCAAGCACCTTCCCATACTTGACCCAAAACATGCTTTGAGTATATTCTTACTGACTTCAAATGTAGACCTGCTTTGAGAAGAGCGACCAGAAAAATCATGTCTATGTGCAGCCATTATCATGCTGTTTGAGCAGAATGTTATTGAAGATTATTAAATCAATTATCTTTTGTTGATCCATGCCTCACTTTTCTCAAATAAAGCCTTTTTGAATTCTGATTTTGAGACACTGTGTTTTTTTTATGATTGTGTTTCGAAAAATGCCCATAGCTATTTTAAATGAAAGAGAAAATAATAGCAGACTAGAACGAGCCATTGTGTATTTGCCGTAACAACGTGACAAAGCAAAACAGACATGATAACTGATAGTGTAAAAGATAAATCACGTGATTAAACTAAATAATCACCCACATAATAATCAGTTAATAGTCACAGTTAAATAAGTTATCACAAATTATTGATATGTTATTTATATAACAACCGATTGGTTGGTGTATTGTGTCTGAGGTGTTTCTTATTTATCTTATTTATCATGATGAATTGATGCTGGATCAAATCAATCAATGGGCTGATCTCTAGAAGATGAATCAGCAACTTTTGATAATCAATTCATTTATCAAGTAAAAAATTGTAAAACATATTATTGATACAGCTTCTCAAATGAAGTAATTTGCTGCTTTTCATGTCATAAATGTAGAAATAAATATATAAATAGATTAAAAATACAGAAAAAGCCTTTTTCATTACGAAGTCTATGTATTTATATACTTATCTACAAATTATATTTAATTTATTGATTAATATATACAATACTTACAATTCTCACATTTGAGACAATTGATGATGAGAGCAATTTTCTTTGAATCATTGCAGCTATACATGACATTTTTTTTATGGTGTTACTTGGTATCAGATCACCACAGAGAACTTACTTCTGCACTGGCAGTTTTTGCCCATTTGTCACAGAAACAGATGAAATTATAATTTCCATTTTTCTTTTCACCTTTACTTTTTAATTTCAAAGCAACTCCATTTCACACAGAAGATAAATACAGTGACAAACCCAGTGCTAAGTAAGTAAAGTCATATCTAAAACAAGACCATACCTCCAGAGAAGGTAATTACTTATCCACTGGGCACAATGAAGAACATCAATCCTCATTATACTTATTGGAAAGAACAAGAAAATAATAAAAACTGAAATATACAACAAGAGAAATGTTAGCCATTAAAACAATAATTAATACAAATAAGGAAATTATTAAGCGGCTATGATAAATTATATTCAGACATTTAAGTATATAGAGTTTCCTATTAAAGACACTTTTGGCTTTTTATACACATTAGCTAGAGACAAAATTTATATTTGTGTATCTGTCTGTGTGTTTAGGGTGACAGTATTTTGTTATAATGACATTATTTACTGAAAATATATTTTCTTAATCATCTTTCAGATCACAACTAACTGGTAGAAAATAAATATTTTATCCATTTATGTATTTGGAGCTCAGCCAATCATGCATCTTTTTGGATATTATTATCATTATTATTAATTCACTTTATTTAACATTTTCCTTATGAACAAGGTTTTGTGTAATTTAAAACTGAAGAATTGAAAACAAACAATTAAAACAATTAAATGCAGCAAAACATGATCGAAAATAAATTGATATAAAAATAGTTCAAAGGTGAATTCAGACCCAAAGTCAAAGGCAACAATTATGTAGCATTAAATTTCAATCTTTGTTGAAGGTGATTATTCTGGGAAAATATTGATTGGAATGGCAGTACTGTTTCCTTCAATGTCTCCATGCAGAACCTTGTACTGCTCTTTTAATATGTTGTACTTTGCTCTTTTGTACTCGCCTTCTGTTTTTTGTTTTTTTAGCTTATTTGTTGAATAATTTTAAACCCTTTGCTTTTCAGTGTTTAGTTGAGTGGTTCTTATTTTACTGCAATATCACCTCCAGCACTGTGGAATGATTATTTACTCACTTACTCTTGTTTGGTAAATCTTATATTATAAAATGTAATGTGGAAATGTATTCCTTTGAATGACACATTTTATTACCAGTTTCAAAGTGCATTACTACATATTTTATTCTTTACATCACACGACACAGAACACAACATCATTGTGCAAAAAATGTGTGCAGAAACAATAATAAAGAATAAAAATAAAGCCACTCTTCGTGTTAATGGAGGGATTTGGATCAGATCTGTGTGGATGAAGTGACAGAAGCTCCTGTGTCACATGACTAAGGAAACTGCATTAAATTTTAATTTTCCCGGAAGTTACCCATGCGACTTGGAGGCGCACCGGCTCCACAAACGAGAAACACCGCACCATGGCCTCGCTCTGAGCCGATACACACGACAGTGGTGTACGTAACGAACCGGCAATCCGTCACCATCGACGCCCTGATCATGGACCCACGGTCCAGAGGCTTTTTTCGGGGCCATCGGAGTTGTCAGTAGTACTCCCAAAGTACTATATTGTTTGATTTTGTGCACTGGCACTTTTGCACGCCCGGGGATTTAAACCGAAGTGACAGCAGCAGCGCTCACCCCGGCTGCCGGTTAGCTAACTAGCACGCTAAGTCAGTAGCCAAGAAAAGGGCATCACTTTTCTGTTGGAGTAAAGGACACGGAAACTACAACACAACTACTTTCACTAACAGAAGACTGATCAGAGGCAGATCCCCCGACTTCAAATCGTACACCACATTCACTACTGATTCCCGGTAAGAGTGAAAACTAGCTGCGCCGGAGCCTGGCTTCATTTTGTCAAAGGCACACAGGCTAGTAAGTGTTAGCAGGCCCCGGCGGCTGTCAGACTGGCACTTGGCACACTGGGCTGGCTGGCCGGCTAATGGTGGCCAGAATCAGAGGAGAGCTCAAGCCGATGTAAGCTGGATGTCGAAGCGTCGATCCGGTTTGTGTTTTATCTTTTGAGACGGGCGCTTTGCTAAAGTTAAGCTAACGTGAGCTGAAGTGACAGCCGGGGTTACTCGCTCTCGTGGCTAATGGTCACTGTCGTCACCTCAGGCTTCGTGAGGTAGTGGTGTGCTAGCTCCAACGATAGCACATTCGTGGTCTAAAAGCGATTTCCACCGTGTTTCAGACACATGGCGACAACTTGATATAAGCACCGATCTAATTCTTGTTTGTTTTTTTCGTGGGAAATTGGCTCCGGTGATGTGTCAGGTCGGTGGGTTCGTGTCCGATGAGGTTGTTGGGCCTGTAATTAAATACACCTCGGAGGACAGGGCTGGGCTAAAGCGCTAACGTTGAGCAACAATAGCCCAAGTGTAACATAATCGATGCCAAGTGTTGTTTTGTCCATCGTGGCTTTTTGTTGTGGTCTGTGTTTTGTCCGTAGACACATCGTCAATTTGGTGTAATAAACATTTCTGCTCTTTGTGTACGTAAAGGTTAATATGAACTCAGCGCTAAGCCACGTAGCGTAGCTAAGCGAAATGTCTGGTGTAGTGGGACACGTAACGTTAGCCGGCTGCTAGCTAACGATTTAACTTGCTCTGGTCGGGACGCTCCCCTCGCTAGCGGGCCGGTAAAACGCCTTTTCGTGCTATAACTTGGCTAAAACCCAGTTGAAATATTTCCCCCGTGTATCTGTCGTATTTAATGTCGGCTCTTCAGGCTGTTAGCCTTCACTACTCCTCAGAACCATATGGTATCTTTGTACATCGATGCCCCTGTCTCAAAGAGGCATGGCATTAGCTAGCAGCTAACGACAGTACCCTGTGTCAGCAGGTGGATGGAGCATGACACGTCTGCCAGTACTAGTCATACGTTTATTCCAGCATGTGTGTATTATCCCCGGGCATGTGTAATAACAATCGATCCAGATGAGACAGCTGTTGGCAGTTTTTTATTTTTAAAAAGGTGTTATATGAATTGATGATTTGCACATGTAGCTAGCACAACCAGGGGGCAGTAGCCACTGTTAACACAGTAAATGAACTTTGACCCTAGGTATCCATTTTCTCAAACTCACCCCAAATCGGAGTAGTCCAAGGGGTGTGTTGGCAGTCACTTGAGCTTGGAGTACATATCCTCACCACTATAAGTCACCCCCCGCCCCAGCCTTTTTTTTATTGCTTTTCACTCTCTGGCCAAGTCATGATCATTTAGAAATGTGTTTGCAATGCTCCATCTGTTCAGTGGCTGAGTCTTAAACGACTGCTAAGGACTGTATGTCAAATCCCCCCTTTTTCATAGAGATTGAATAGCATGACCTTTTTCTGTTCAAAAAAGGCAGTTTTTGGTCTGTTGCAGTCTGATTTGAGTGAGTAATCCACAATGGATTTGAAAACTGAACTGCTCAAAAGACGAGATGTATGAACCCTGCAACAAGATTGCAAGAGTTGCTCTTATCGTAGGCGAAACCCTCAGACCACACCCTCGTTGCTTGGTTAGCAGGCACCACACTAATGGTTCATGTCTTCACACTGTGCTGTCTGACATCTGACCTGTATGGCTCCAGTTATGTGTCAAAGAGATGTGTTACCCCTCTGCCTGTGTAAACATCATTAAAATCCATTTTGAACTGAAAGCATTTGAATTGCTTTTTGAAACTTCTGATGCTCACCTCTTTCTTTTTTCTTTTTTTTTTTCTTTCTTGCTCTTCTATCCATCAGAAAGGCTGGCAACACAACGCCACCCTAATGCAGAACCATAAAAGAGCGTGAAATGAACAAGCCACCACAGCCTATAACGGGACCCACCTCTGTCCCAAACCCTGCCCCTTCCCCTGGATTGACACAGGTGAGAGCCACTGACCTCATAGACTTCAAGTTTTCTTTGTTTTGAGATAAGTTTGATAACATCTATTTATCCTCTATTCTCTCCTCTCAAGGCTGCCTACGGCCCAGGACAGCCCCCTTCTCTTGTTTTTGCCACCCCTCCACCTCCACAAATGAACTCTGCACCCCAGACAAGACAGGTATTGTTCAACACATGTTTTCTGTATTTGTCCCTTGGTTTTAGCATTCATAGTCATGGTGGTATGTTTTTCCTTGAATGAGAACCCTCCCGCTGCTGCTTTTTCATGAAGATCTCTGACACGGCTTCTCCTGCTTGAAGGCTTTTGCTAAACCTGTTTATCTGTGCTTGTTATAGTCTATTTGCCATCTCTCACCTTGAATGTCAATCTTGACTTCTTTCCTCTCTTCTGCTGTCCTCCCAGTTTGCCGCAGGGCCCCGTACTTTACACCAACAGGTACTAACACCCCTCTCTTTTCCCTACATTCGCTCCGTCTCCTTTTTGAAATGCATGCTTTCAGTTTCACACGTAGGAGAATTAGATGAGAATGCTGTACTGTTTGTGAGATAACCTTAATTTTTCCCGAGATCCAGTAACGCTTCCATACCTACTTTTAGAAATGCATATTTGTCTGTAGGACTAGGCCTTGGACGATAACAAATTTTGCTGGACGATATATTGTCCCACAAATTATTGCTGATAAACGATATTATTGTCAACATGATAATATATCATAATAATGCACACCCTTTCAAATACAATAAACTTTTATTTCTCAGTGTTTTTTACCATTGTAATTGTAATTTCAAGAACGTTTAAATATCCTAAATAAATAAAACAAACAATAAACAAAAAATAAAATGGACTCTCAGTCTCTGTTAGCAAAAATTGCACTTGAATAAAAATCACAACTGAAAACAATAAAAATAGACCCCGTGTCTGTTAAGAAAAACAGCACTCAAATATAAAACCACACACAACCAAAACAATAAATAAAATGGTCTCGACAAACAAAATTGAACTTCAATAAATATTGAACATTTAGGCACAGAGGTATAGAGTTGTACATTCCTTAACAGGTAACACTGCCAATCCAGTTATGACCTTTGTAAACAAAAAGTGCAGAGTAACAACACAAACACTTCATATAAGCAGATGTCTTAACAGGCCATATGCAAATCTGTAGCTACTTTAGTTTGGCAGATTCCGAGCAAGGAAAACCAACATGTTGACCTTGTGTGGCTTAAGGCAGGATCTCTCTGGGGTAGCAATGTTGCCAGCTGTGCTAATCATTCTCTCCGAGCTGGTGCTCATTGCACATATGCACATGTATTTTTGTGCCAACTTGGCCATCAAAGGGTATCTTCTTTGATTGTCACGCCACCACATTAAGGGATCAGAAGATGCATCAAGTGTATCTTCCTGGAGGAACTTGGTCAACTCTGCATCAGCCTGCACTCTTTTTGGAACTGCAGCCTGGTAATGACTTGTGAGGTGAGCTCTTCTGTTTTGAAGAAGGTCACTCAGCCTCTTCTTCTTTGTGGGTGAGGGAGGTTCATCCTCATTTCCTCTAGCAGCAGCTGTGCTGCAGCTCTCACCACTGGTACCTTCTCCATTTCCTTCTGGCTATTTTAAGTCCAGCAGCTCTTGCACAAACTGATGTTTGACATCATCCAATGCCTCTGCCTCCTCCATGGTGCCACGATATCTTGGATCCAAGATAGTGGCCTTTCTCAGGAGGACTTGGATTGCAAGTGAACTGTATTTTCAGTCAGTACCCTGCACATGTTACGTTTAACAATGGCTGTCAGTGCAGTGTCATCGGGTCCTGGAGAGAGAGTTCACCTTTAATCAGTTTACTTTGTCGACCAATCTCCTCAGTGAGTGTTGACTGTCAAGACGAAGGCTCTGCATCTCAAGGTGTAGTTTTTTTCCCCAACTGGGAAAACTGGGTCAGGTGGTTATGCTTTAGGTGGGCATGCAAGTTTGTTGTGTTGCCTTTTTTTGTTGCCACACCTTTTGAACAAATTCGGCATACTGGCTCATCCGTGTTGATGGGCTCACCTTGCTCATTCGGTTTGAAGCCGAAATTTTCCCACACCGGGGCTGTGGAATTTGACTTTGCAATCATCTTTTGTCCTCGCGTTGCTCCGCACGAGGCTCACTTACTGCACTCTGTGTGTGTAGCCAATGCTAGCGGCCCAGCCTAGGCCTGGGATGATAACAAATTTTGCTGGACGATATATTGTCACACGAATTATTGCCGATAAACGATATTGTCAACATGATAATATATCATAATAATACACACCCTTTCAAAGACAATAAACTTTTATTTCTCAGTGTTTTTTTACCTTTTGCGAACTTCACTTTCAATGAGCGCACACCATTTTGCGCTGTTCCGTTTATATTTACTTTGTCGACCAAATGCCTGAGTGAGTGTTGACTGTCGGGACGAAGGCTCTGCATCTCGAGGGGCACTTTGTTTCCCCAGCTGGGAACACTGGGTCAGGTGGTGATGCTTTAGGTGGGCATGCAAGTTTTTTGTGTTGCCTTTTTTCGTTGCCACCACTTTTGAACTGGCTCGTCCGTGTTGATGGCCTCACCTTGCTCATTCGGTTTGGAGCCGAAACATTCCCACACCGGGGCTGTGGCGTTTGACTTTGCAATCATCTTTTCAAAGCAGAGTTCGTTATATAAGTTATATGCACATTACTGCATATTTTTCAATCCCTATGTTTCTCTGTAAATTACAATGTTCCAAACCTGCCATTACAATGACAAAATAACTTACTGTATAGTGTAGTGTAAATTATTGAAATCTTTTCATGGTTATGTTCAAATCATAACAAGAATTTGGATTTAAGAAGCTTTTTGCTTTCCAACATACATCTAATTCAGTACCTGCAGCATTCAAACATCAATTATGGCTTGTGCCAGCGGCCCTTAAAACAAATGTCTGACAACTTAAAGCCACGAGACTTCAGGGAATCCCGTTTATATGCAGACCTGTACAGAGTTGCATGCCCAGCTAGGATTGTTGGAGCTTACTGTTCATAACTGCGAGATGCAATGCTGCATTTCATCCTCTTCCCCTTACACCTTTTAACCTCAACCCTCCACATAGTCTGTTGTTCTCATTTTCACCTTATTCTCACTCCCTCTCTTGCTCTCTGCTTATGTGTTGCGCGGCTGAAGGGTGGATACAGAGCATTACAGGTAACAGCTTTTCTCTTTCCCCCCCCCTTTAACTTTGGCTAACCCGTGTGACAGGGACAACTGACATCCAGTACAATTTAGGTGCAGTGTAACCCAGGAACTGAACTTGCTGTACACATTGGCAGTTGGTGTGTGCATTGCCTCCAGCCTGGTGCTGCTATATTTCTAAAACCTGGGTTACCATAGCAAAGACATTAAAAGCACATGCCGAGCAACATGTTTGCTCATGCTAAGATACTTTCTTCATCCTCCTTTCCCTTCCTTTTTTGTCCAGACTTACTATCCAAACCGACCAGCCATGGCAACCAATGCTCCAAGAGTACAGACAAGTAGTGGGCCCAGACCTGTTGGACCTACCCATGTCTACCCGCCCAGCTCCCAGATGATGATGATTTCCCAGCAGCAGCTGTCTTTTGCTGGATCCCCTCAGGGCTACTTCATCCCCCCTCCTGGACAGGTTTGTTCACATTATAATCATCAATAGCTAAAATATAATGCATATTACTTCCCTGTCCAACAACCTGCTCACATAATTCTCTCTCTATGCTCTTTATAATAACTGTATAAGCCCAAATATAACTTTTGTAGGTAACATTTTAAAAAAAATGGATGTCACGGAATTACACAGACATTTCAACAACTGCAGTGTTGCATTATGGCCTTCAGCCTTAATGCTTGAGTTGTCTTTTAGTCTTCATCAGGTCTATATTTATTAAGAATCCCTGTTTAAACAACTGTATTTGCTGATGACTCATGTAATGAGTTTTGTTGCCACAAAGGACTTCATTTCTTTACTCAGTGAAACAGAAAGACTAAATCATCTTTCCAGCAGCTCAGAATTACTGGTGGCAAAGCGTGTCATGATGGGAAGCTTAAAGAAACGTCTGAAAAATGTTAAGAGCGTGACAGGAGTGTGTGAGCATGTGACTAAAAAGGCATTGTGAAGAATTGGCTACATTACAAAGCATATTTGGGCAAACTACACAAATACAAAAGATGCACTTCTTCCCAAAACAGGTGTTGCACAAGGTGGTTCATCTTGTATTTGTGTAGGTATGGCAGGTTACTGTGGGAGTTTTTCTCTTTCCTTCAGAGTTTCATAGCTTGTTGTGCATGTGGGAGATGTGCTAAGTTACAAAGGCCAACATCTGTGGATAACAGTCCTCACTCTCACAGAAAACACCTCTGAAGGGCCTTGCATTCTTGGCTTTTTTTCCTCCCTTAAAGCATCTGTGTTACCAAGTAACCTGCACGCCCTCAGGCTAGATTGGCTCAAATTGAGTTGGCAGAACAGACGCCATTGTTAACATGATCAAGCCTCTGGGTAGGGGGCGAGACATTTCCAACACATGCTCTAAGTGGTTGACCAGTCACAAAAGAGCGGGACGGCTGACCAGTCACAGCAAACTGGGCTGTTTGGGAAGTGGGCCAAGAGCTAAATGCGAGCACCTCAGAGAATGAGTGAAAGAGTTGATGCAGCAAAGTACAATATGAGACAAATACAATTTTTTAAACATTACCTTTCAAACATCAGAGGATGTACAACTACACACATAGACCCCCCCCAATCAAAATGTGTAAATGGACAAAATATCTCTAGCACTCTTTTGTGTTTGTTTCTGACTTTTTATTTTATATTTTCAGTACCGGGCCCCATACATGCCTCCAACTCAGCAGTATCCTGTGACCAGCGGTACAGCTGCCTTCTATCCAGGAACCAGCCCTGCTGAATACCCCGCTTATGGTAAGGGGTTTTTGCCCAAAACCAACTACCAAGCACAACCATGAACACGAAAAACAAATTGGTTCTCTTTTCCAATTAGTTCAAATCTTTCGTAAGCATCAGAAAACGGAAATTTGTGTTGATTGAGAAGCATCTGCTTTTGGTCCATATTCATTTGTGCACCTGTCTCTGCCCACAATGTTTTGTTGGGTGTGTCATGGTTTTGCCTGGCTGGTTGGTGTGTTTTAATGTCTTTTCGGGGTCAAAACCCTGCTGTATATGGTGATCTGCCAGTTGCATGTGGTCTGGCTTAGTTCTGCTTTGGTCTCTGTTCTTTCTATCTGCAGTCTCACCTGACACTGCCTCATAGGTTCCATGAAATGACTTTTACTGTTGCCTCTGCTACCTTTCTTATCTTGTACTAAATATTCAGTCCACACAAAACTGAATGTGGAATTTAATATTGACAGGGAGTTAATTTGCGTTTAAAAGACTTAAAAAGCAGGATTGGAACCACTGCACTTTTGTATAATTGTGTCTCCCCAAATACTTTAAACTCAAAAGTATGATTTGGATTTAATGTTATGCAAAAAAATCTGATATTTTTGTGGCCTAAACGAATTAGATGTAGCCAGGAACACAAAGAAAGAGTACAGCAAAGTCATCGTTCATTTCAAGGGACCTCTTAACACCCTGCTTCCTCTGGATCCTCTCATTAACTCATTCTGCATCTGTCTCCTCCTGCCCTCTCTCCTTACCTCCCTCTCTCTTCCTCTCCTTTGCTGCGTTGGTTCAGAGCCCTCTCTTGCTGCGAGGGAGAGGCGGGGTGGTGGGGGGAGAGGGGGCGGGCGAGAGAACGGCCGTCTCTCTCTCCACGGTGCTCCTCTCACCTCCCAGCGCTACCCCGGTGAGTAGTGTGTGTGCTTGTGTGTTGGTCAGCCGGCTTCTGTGGCACTTCCTGTCTCTAGTAGTGATATTAATGTGCATTTTCTTGTGAGTGAAACGCAGTAAGAGTAGGCAACATACACACAATTATTGTAATAAAAATTGTAAGCACAAGGAAAAACATTTTGAGTGAAAAGTTAAACTTGAATGTGATTCAGAGAGTGCATACCTTCAGTAAAACACCCTATCTTGTAATTTTAAATATAAAATTTAAGAAAAATCCTCAATCCACCCCTTGATTTGGATACTTACAAAATGTAATGGGTTCTAACCTGACCCATACAGCATCCTTGCAAGTTTTGTTGTAATGCGCCTAGTAGTTTTTTGCATAATTCTGCTTACAGACAATTGCAGAGGAAAACATGCAATAATGTCCATGGTGGGGGTAATTAACAATGACAGTACAGCTTTAAGATAAAGAAAATGTGTAAAACACAATTTACCGTCCCCTGATCAATGAAATCTTTGTACTTCCTTTTTCTGCTGTTTACGAGCAGCCTGCCTACACAGAGCTGAGGCTGAACTGGAAGCTGGAGAGTACCGGCACCGACCGGCAGATCTCTTGTTAGCTGAATTCCATCGATGCAATTTCATGTGTTGTAGATTGTTATTGAGTAATGTATCTTGTATAATGACGATGCATTTCTTTTGTATTTATATTCATAACCTTGTCAGTGATACATCTTCTATCTGAACTACAGTCTGGAAGGTCATTATTCCACTAGCTTGTGTCATTCACTCTGAATAACAGTCACGCAGGCTTCCATCATCTGAAGGGGTGATCAACAACTAAAGCAGCCTAATAGTCTAAATGTTTTTTTATATTTGTTTGCCTCTTAATCCACACATCTCATAGGCTCTAGGTGTAGACTGTAGTTTTTGTGTTCGGACAGGATTCTCCACTCTGTAGGTGTAAAATGTGGCGTTTTATTGTGTGCGGGTGTTAACGTCAAAATATTATAAAGACCTCCAACTATAGAGACAAATCAAACAACAAGCAAAAGTGTTTGTGTGATTGCACCTTGAAGTCCTGTTTAACAACAAATAGACACATGATTTCTGGAACAGTAAAAAGACAAAGAATTGTTTTTCGTAACCACGGTATCAAAGGATAATGTGACTGATCATTTTAATGTGAAACTGCACTTGAGTTTTATTTTTTTTTCAGTTATGCTTTTTTGTTTCATTCTAACCTTCCAGCAGGAGCATATTATCCAGCACAGCCACAGTACCCTCCATCGGTCCAGCCTGCACCGGTCATGATCAACCCCACCCAGCAACAGCCACAAGCCCCGCCTCCTCAGCAACCACCGGCACAGGCACAAGGCCCACTAAAGAGAGAACGCAAACCGGTAGTGTGTTACAACAAAGGGGCAGCACATCTCTTGTCTGAGTTCAAAAAAAAAATTGAATAGCGAGACTGTTTGTATTGTCTGTTCCGTGTGGAACTTTCCCTTTTACTTCGAAATAACAGCAGTAATTATTATGATGGGTGGCAGCTATAGATGAGTGCTGGCAGGATGATTATAAACTGTTTGTAATTTATTGTTCGATACTTAACCAATATTTGCTATTTCTCCTGATAGATAAGAATACGAGACCCCAACCAGGGCGGGCGTGATATCACAGAAGAGATAATGTCAGGTGGAAGATCCACCACCACACCGACTCCCCCACAGGTAAGAGCTATCATGGAATACCATTCTCTATTGAATCTGTTCTTAAGTAAATAGGGTTATGTATGTTTCTTACTTATTTATCACAGATTAAATGTTAAGTATTTTTTAAATGAAAATTGCTTATTCCATTCTGCACTACACTGTTGTTTCGGAAATTAAATGAACAAAAGGAAAAATGTAACTTTTTATCAAATGAAACTTGAGCTTGACGACATTTAGAGATTACTACTTTGGAAAATGCTTTTTTTTTGTTATCTGACAATGCAGCATTTTTTTTCATAAATTTGAAGCAAAAAAATTTAAAGACAAAAAGATTTAATAATTTAGTTTAGGAGATAATTCCTTATTTGTATTTATGGATATTTGAGTTGGTTTCTACGAAGCATCCAGTTTTCCAGTATTTCACAATAGCAGTTGCATGTTTTCCCTTCACTATGAGGCCATGTCAAAATCAGCACAGCTCAACTCTAGCATAGAGTTTCCCTGAACATAATAGAAAGGAACTCCACGCAAATATGTGCTGTTTAGAGCTGTGGTTGTATTTTTGGGCTTAGTTGCAACTAGCAGGTTTTGGAATAAAAACTGGATGAAATGGCAGGTGATGATTTTGTATTGGTATATATATACTCTGCTTATATGGAGTTAACTGTGAACATAAATGTTTAACCCAAACTCAGTTGGGAAAAATCAGGTAAAATCTGAAAAATGGAGGTCAATAAGTGGACACTTTTGCAATTGTAGGCCTCCATAGCAGATTTAAGTCCTGCACAGACCAACGGTGAAGTTGTACAGCCTGTCGCTACAGTGACGAGACAAGGTGAGTACATTTTCTCATTTTGGGTGAAATACAAATACAAGCTTCTCGACTTTAATTCCACATTTTCCTTTATGACTGACTGAGTCTTATTCCATATTTTCCATTGCCCAGATGATAACATGGAGCCTGCTGTAAGCGCTGAAACCCCGCCGCCTCCTGCCACAGCAGACACAGAGCCTGTGCTGGAGGCCAAACAGGAAGTGGACAGCCAGATGTTGGTGTGTGCTGAATCAGATGTACCATCTGTAGCCCCCACAGCTGCTACTGAGGATCCATCCCCATTGATAAATGATGAGCAGTCTCCCTCTTCCCTCCCTCCTGCAGTAGCAGCTACTACTACTACTACTCCTGCCGAGGCAGAAAATAATGACGTTACTAAAGTCAGTGACACAGTAGATGCTCCTGTCGGCCCTTCGGCATCAATAGCAACACAAGAGGCACCTGTTAAAATAGAGGAACCACAGGCTGCCCCAGCTCCACCTGAGAAGGCACCAGAACAGGAAGAAAAGATAACAGAGGAAGTGAAGACAGTTGAAAAAGAAGAGCAGGTGGCTAGTTCCAAGTTGGAGCCTGTAGTTGAAGATGCACCAATAGTTACCCCTGTTGAAGTGGCAGAAGAAGAAGCAGTGACTAAGACGTCAACTGAAATGTCTCATCCTCCACCCTCCAAACAGGAACTAGTTGCTCCACAGACCCAGAGCCCTGCTCCGAACTCTGGCCCTGAACCCGAACCCACTCTGGCTGAAACAGCAGAGCCTCTCGTCTCCAACGGTCTTCCTCAGAACATTGAGGAACTTTCTGAGGATGTTACGCTTTCAGACACTACATCCCTTGACAAGCCAGATGCCTCTCAATCTCAGGAATCCACACCTGTAGCTAAAATGGCAGCACTAACCCAGGAAGAGGAGGAAGAGGAGGAGATTGAGGTGGAGAAGGAGGAGATTAAAGGGGAAGAGAAGGAGAAAATTGAGGATGTCCCTCCTACCCCTATCAGCTGCCCCACAGAGGAATCTACTACGCAAGGTAAGGTGGAGTTGACTTTCACTTGCATCTATGAATTAGATCATGTTTATAATTCAGATTTAAATGTCAACTCTTTGTCCTTTCTTTGAAGCTGCTACGTCTCTGCCAAAGAAGAGGAGGAACATGAAGGAGCTCAACAAAAAGGAGGCCATTGGAGACCTCCTGGATGCATTCACAGATGTGTGTACCAATCCTGATGTTGTTTAAAGTCATTTTAATTTCGGCTGTATCCATAAAGAACAAGGGTATTAAGTTTTTAAGTATGACATTCTGTCTTTTCTGTTATGTTTGCTGCAGGAGCAGGAGGCCAAGCCGGCTTCTGAACCTTTGCCCACTCCGGCCGACCCTGTCCCTGTTGCTCCAGCTGAACCTCCTGCTGAGGCTGCAGATGAGACTTGGGAAGAGAAAGAGGACAAGCAGAACGCAGAACCTGACAGGCCCAAAGCCTCGCCTGAGCCAACTGAGCAGAAATACCAGTACAAAGAAGGTGAGTTATTAATAAGAGTCTGAGGGAATTACATTTTCTGTATATTTAAACAAAACAGCTACTGATTGTGATTATGAATTATAGATTTGCATGCACATACCTCGGCCAAGGCCCAACAGTCCCCTTACATTCAGTCTTGCTGGACCAAATTCATAGATATCAGTCCCCAAAATATGCTCAAGGTCTTTCATCAAGATCCGCTAATTATTCCCAGGGTAATTGTGAAAATGTCAAAAAATGCAGTATGTCACAATGTTCTCTCTCTGCCTCTTTGATCCACTCAAAAACATAATGGGTTCTGTCTTGGCTCATGTGTCATCCTTGCACAGTTTTGTGTAATCTGGCTGACAAACAAATGGACAGGAGCAAAGACAATCTCCTTGGTAGAGGTAACTGTATTTTTAACAGAATGGGTTAAAATACAAATGATCACTGGCATTGTGAAACACCAGTGGCGAGATATGGAGAGGCTGGCTCAATGTGCAACAGGTTCATACCTCTTCAAGTGTCCTCGTTAAGGCTCCAGACAAATTCTTCCTCCTGTCCATAGTGCTACAAAGCTGTATCTAACTCCCAAGATCCTGTAAAATAAGTAATATGTAATCAAGAATATGTTTTCCACATCACTGTTAATCCTCTGCATTCACACATCCCTCAGAACAATGGAAGCCGATAAACCCAGAGGAGAAGAAGCAGTACGACAGGGATTTCCTCCTGGGCTTCCAGTTCATCAGCGCCAGTATGAACAAACCCGAGGGTCTGCCCACTATCAGTGATGTGGTCCTGGACAAGGTAGCTAAGCTAACAAATTCTGCTTCAGTTGTATTTCTAACTGCAGTCTGAAAAAGTTTACATCCATTATGTGGAATGCTTTAAATGCTTGAGATTGATTAGGCTGATGCTGAAAAGGGCATAAACTATATATATCTCCCTCAACTGAATTCATGACTTTTGCACGATTAATTTTATAGTATATTGTGCTAAATATAGAAGAAAACAGCTCATTATAATTTGTCCAGACAGTGTTTTGTATTTGTTTGTAACCACACCTCATTTGTTTCCTTGCTGAATCTCCAGGTGAACAAGACTCCTCTGCGACCTGCTGACCCAGCTCGACTAATTAACGTTGGTCCTGATTTTACTCCCTCCTATTTGGGTAATCTTGGGAGCAGATCAGTGGGAGGACCAAGAGGCCCAGTGAGTGAATTTGTTCCTTCTTGTCCCTTTTTTTGTATTTAATTTGTTGAATAAGGTTTAAATTTACTCAAGTTTGCAAATATTTATTCCTTCCCCTCCTTTCAGCCTCCGGGGCCACGTCGCTCCCAGCAGGGTCAGCGTAAAGAACCTAGGAAAATCATCATCAGCAGCATGTCCCTCAATGATGACGTGCAACTCAACAAGGCTGAGAAGGCCTGGAAGCCCTCAGTGAAGAAGTCCACTCGCAGCCGCTGTGCTGAGGAAACCGATACAGATGACAGTGAACAGGGCAAGACTAAAGAGCTGTTCAAGCGTCTGCGCAGTATCCTCAACAAGTTGACTCCTCAGAAGTTTCAGGAGCTGATGAAGCAGGTGACAGATCTGGCGATAGATACGGAGGAGAGGCTGAAGGGAGCCATTGACCTCATCTTTGAGAAGGCCATCTCAGAGCCCAACTTCTCTGTGGCCTACGCCAATATGTGCCGCTGCCTTATGGGAGTAAGTCATGTGATTGTGTCTGAATCTTGTGCTTGTCTTAATTGCTCCAATGATAATTTCTGTTTTGTGCCACGTGTCTGGGCCACTGAATGTTCATGATGGTATTGAGGAACTGAAGGAGCATACTTAAATCACTATACATTTAAATGATGCTTTTGCTTATGGCATGTCATTCAAAATGAAAAATGTAAATCCATGAAAGAATACTTACTGTACCTCATGTTTTCCTCCCCCAGTTGAAAGTCCCAACTACGGACAAGCCAGGAGTTTCTGCCAACTTCCGTAAACTGCTGCTTAACCGCTGTCAGAAAGAGTTTGAGAAGGACCAGGATGATGATGAGATCTTTGAGAAGAAGCAAAAAGAGTTGGAGGCTTCCAAAGATGTAAGATGCAATGTGTCGTGCTCACTATCACAGCTACCACAGATATTTATGTAGACTAAACTGATCATTTTTACCCCCCCCCAACACTGAACACAAATGCTTGCTTGTGTCTGCACTCAGGATGAAGAACGTGAACGCTTGAGGGTGGAGCTGAATGATTCCAGAGACCAGGCCCGCCGGCGCTCACTGGGAAACATAAAGTTCATAGGCGAGCTCTTCAAGCTGAAGATGCTGACTGAGGCCATCATGCACGACTGCGTAGTGAAACTACTAAAGAATCATGATGAAGAGTCTCTGGAGTGTCTCTGCAGGCTGTTCTCCACTATTGGAAAAGATCTGGACTTTGAAAAGGCCAAGGTAAGTAAAGCATGAACTCAGATGGATGAAGGGTGAATTTAAAATTTTGTTTTTAGTGATGACTTTTATTTTTGTGCCACATGTCTGGGCCACTGATTTAGTGATGGGATTGAGGAACTGAGTAGATGGATGAAAATATTCAGTCTTGTTTTCCTATACATGGTTATGGTTGACAGCCATGACTCAAAATCCACTTCTGTGTCCCTTTCAGCCTCGTATGGATCAGTATTTTAACCAGATGGACAAGATCATCAAAGAGAGAAAGACTTCATCCAGAATCCGCTTCATGCTTCAAGACGTCCTGGACCTCAGAAAGGTGAATTTGTAAATAAAGAGCCTGTGTTGAGCAGTTAAGTGGGTAGGAAACATGTTTAAGGAGGAGGAAGTGGGGATCTCGGGGAGTTCTCCAGAGTGACTGATTTAAAAGGAAAGCCTTATGATTATTATTTTTTCTATCTGCTTCACAGGCTGAGAAACTTAACTTTTTGTAAATATTGGTAATTGTGTTAGCTCTTCAGAAAACCCTCAGGTTTTCGGTGGTTGTTTTCAAACAATCCTTAGTTTTTATTCTGTGTTAAACATTTCAAGACTGCTTTATAACCATTGTCCATCTCTGATCCACAGTGCAACTGGGTGCCTCGCAGAGGAGACCAGGGTCCTAAAACAATTGACCAAATCCACAAGGAGGCAGAGATGGAGGAGCACAGGGAGCACATCAAAGTGCAGCAGCTCATGTCCAAGAAAGAGGCAGGTGGAGGTAGGATGGGAGGAGGAGGAGGGGGCATGGGGGGCCGAGGGTCTCACACACCAGGAGGTGGCCGGAATAACCCGCCTCAGGATGAGGGATGGAACACGGTGCCCATCTCCAAGAACAGACCCATCGACACCACCCGCCTTAGCAAGATCACCAAGGTATGGGACATTTTCATTCATGTCTGAAATCTTGGTCTCTGCAGCTTTGAGCTTTTTATTCAATTACCTACATTTTTGTTTTGTGTACGCAGTAAGAAATTGATCTGTCTACCAAACTCTTTATGTTGAGTCAAGAGCCAATAAGAATAAAATTGTCTCAAGTGTACCCTGGTGATTTGGGACACAAATGGATTATAAAGGTTGGAATGGGTTTTCTCTGCAGCCCGGTGCTCTGGACTTCAGCAACCAACTGTTGGCTCCAGGTGGCAAAGGCATGTGGGGCAGCTGGGGCAAAGGCAGCAGTGGAGGAACTGGAGCTAAACCCGCCAGTGGAGAGCAAGGTAAAACACGTTCCTCGTAAAGATTGTATGGTTTACGAAGCTTTAGCTGTTTAGTTGTTAATCTCTCCTTTTGCTTCTTTTAGATGCTGGTCGTCCAGCTACTAGCACCCTCAACCGATTCTCTGCCCTGCAGTCTGGTTCTCTGTCTTCATCAGACTCCGATCGCAGAGCTCCTCAGAGGTAATGTGAAGTTGTGTAAAAAATAAAAATAAAAAAAAATTCTTACCTTGTTAAATCTATCCTTCTTTACTGTTTCACTGCATAGTTAACTGTTTACTTACAACGATTAAGGTCAAGCTCCAGTCGCGAGCGCGGTGGAGACAGGGGCGACCGCGAGAAGGATCGCTTTGACCGATTTGATCGCAATGAGGGACGGGAAGGTCGTGACGACAGGAGCACCCGCAACCAAATCACGAAGAGAAGCTTCAGCAGAGAGTCGCAGGAGCGCGGAGGGAGGGTTGGAGACACCCGGACCCCGACTGAGCCTGTGCGTCGCGTCGCCAGCATGACTGACGACAGGGACAGAGGAAGTCGGGATAGAGGAAGTCGGGACAGGGGAGGCAGAGACCAAGGAAGCAGAGACCGAGAAAGCCGGGACAGGGGAAGCAGAGACCAAGGTAGCAGAGACAGAGGAAGTCGGGACAGGGTTCCGAGCAAAGATCTCACAGGTAAAGAGGATACAATAGAATTTAAGTGTAATTATGCATACTGATGAAATGACCATGAAAGAGGACGCAGGACTGAGCTGCAACTTGATTCCTTTTTCTGCAGCTAAGCGTGAGAGCACCCCCACTCCTCCTCCTTCTCTCTCTAAACCTGCTCTGACTGAGGAGGAGGTGGAGAAGAAGTCAAGCGCCATCATTGAAGAATACCTCCACATCAATGACTTGAAGGTACAACCATGACACAATATACACCAGCATCCAACACTGAATTCAACTGAAACACATGCATGTTAAGCAGGAAATGCTTTAAAGTTCCGCTCTGACAGCCTGCGTCTCTCCTCCACACTCTGTAGGAGGCGCTGCAGTGTGTGACAGAGCTCAACAGTGCCTCGCTGCTGTACGTGTTTGTGCGGAACGGCTTGGAGTCGACGCTGGAGCGCAGCACAATCGCTAGAGAGCGCATGGGCCACTTGCTGCACCAACTTATAAAGGCAGGGACATTGCCCACACTGCAGTACTACAAAGGGTGAGCACCTAACAGGAAAAACCTGTTGAATTTTTCTTTTTTAACTGCAAGTGCCTTGTTTTAGATCTATGGTGTGTGTCGAACGTGACACTAAGTGCTTTGTGGTTTTTGGGGTTGCAGGCTAGAGGAGATCCTGGAGGTAGCCGAAGACATGGCCATAGATATACCTCACATATGGCTCTACCTGGCTGAACTCATTACCCCCATGCTCCATGAGGGAGGCATCCCTATGGGACAGCTCTTCAGGTGAGCGCCACATTGATTGATGACATTTCTAACATGGCGGATGCAAAAGTTCAAAAAAATTACAGATGTTGAAAAGAGGAGCTTTACACGTTATTTAAAAGAAAGTGAAAAGTTAGTTTTTAATTGTGTCTTTAGGGAGATCTCAAAGCCTCTCCTGCCTCTGGGGAAGGCCGCTGTGCTGCTGGTCCAGATCCTTAAGCTGCTCTGCAACGGAATGGTAAGTCCAACATGTCTAAAAAATCAAATCGTGGACATTTTCACATCCACAGTAATACGCAGACGGCTGTTGCTTTAAGAATTCACATAAAAATCTTTCGTCCCATTAATTTAATGTCTCTTTTCCTCATTAGACCCCTAAGAAGGTCGGGGCCATGTGGACAGAGGACGGGCTGAGCTGGAGTGACTTCTTACCCAAGGACGAGGACGTCAACAAGTTTGTCACTGAACAGGTTTGTAGGAGTGTGTGTAATAAAGAGAATAATATGAATGACTGTAAACCACTACATGCTGAGTTAAAGGTTTGAGGATGAAGCTTTTTTTGATGGATAGAGATGCACTTTATATAGATGCAGGTTTTTGTTCTGTTTTTTATTCATCAGCTCACTGGTGAGTATGATATCTATAGGCCAGGCCCTCTGCTGGACTACAAGATGAACTACTTCCAATGGCCTGTAATGCTTAAAGACAATTGTCTTGGAATTTATACTGATCAGGAACCTTTTGAGAATTTGGTTGTTTTCTTTTTTTTACATTTTGAAAAGGTACAGCTTTATTCCCTATAACTAACTTTATAGTTGAAATAAATAAGAAAATACATGAAGGGATTTTATTTGTTCATGGTGCTGATTTCTTCTGGTTTGTCATTGTGTTAGATTTTAATTGTTAAAAAAAACCTGACAAGTCAATAACTTGATCTATCTTTAAGCTTTCTTTTTTGGTTTTGCATTTCAGCAGGTGGATTTCACCACAGGAGAAACGACGGAGTCACTGGAAGTGGTTCTTAAGAGAGCCCTGAGTGGAGAAGAGCTCAGTCAACAGCTGGACAGACTCCTCGAGGATAAGGCCAACAACCAGCGCATCGAAGACTGGGTTGAGGTGTGTGACTGCTCATGTTTTTCCCTGCAGGTTTTATTACATGCTTGAATATTTCCATGCAGGGTTTTTCACAGATATAAAAGTAGAAAGAGGAACTTTATCACGCAATGTTTAACAATTCTTTTAAAATCAGCATTTAGTTACCGGTTACTTACATCATCCAAAATGTTTCCAACAATGTTCAAACAAGAGAAATCCACAATTTTATTCAAGGTGACCAGGTGTTTCTTTTGGTCGCCAGTCGGCTGTGTTATACTTCCACTCTGTGTATAGGTCTCTCGTAATGCGTGATTACTCGCTGCCGCATAACGTGAATAAAACTTTAATACATTACCGGCAATGATCTTTTAAATGTTCATCAATGTTTTTGATTGAGACCCCTAGTGGCGGAAGTAACATATTGTTCATTGAGGTCCCCCTGTTCAGCAGTTTTGTTTTGTTTTTCAGGCTAACTTAGAGGAGCAGCAGATGACTTCCAACCAGTTCGTAAGAGCATTGATGACAGCAGTGTGCCAGTCCGCCATCATATGTAAGTATGATTGACAACAGCACGTAACGGCAGCAGCGCAAATTCTCCTGCTGCCCAACCGACTTGACGAAACACAAATCACAATATCGGGATTGATTTTTGTTTGTTCCTCCTCGTTTCAGGTGACAACCCGTACAGGGTGGATCCAAATCAGATCAAAGAGAGAGCCAGACTTCTGCAGAAATACATGTCTGACGAGCAGAAAGAGCTCCAGGCCCTTTACGCCCTCCAGGCACTGATGGTGCATATGGAGCAGCCTGCGAGTGAGTGTCCAGCTCTTAGTCTGTGTTCGAGCACACAAAATAATCAATACCTTACAATTCAATGAGCCTTGTCGGAAAAGGTAGAAACTGGTGAAGATCATGGTTTTTATTGTCACTGATCATTCAATCCAATGCTCATTATTGATTGATTATTATTGATTATTGAAAACTTGTTTGTGACTTTACAGTTTTAAAGTTAAATTTGTTTCATTACTTAAAATGTGTTTTTTTAATAGAGGGAATCGTTCTGTGTCTACTACACAATGCACTGACTTTACTCTCTGTCAGTGGCGTGTCAGTGTTCCTGTTTGCATTCATTTAGTATTTCACCGCCCACCTGTGGCCGCAGCAGGCTATTGTCTCTGGAAGCTAACTTGATGTTGATGCTGCTTATAGTTTGTTATTCTCAATGGATGTGACCATTTCCTGTTGATGATGTGTGGGGCTTGTCAAGTGGAGGGGAGAGAAATATATTTTGGGCCTCTGTGTATTGAAGATCTCTGACGGGTGTCCAGCTGTAGCTAGCTGCAGATAAGTCTGCATGTCAAGCTGCGCCCTTGATATTACAAAGATTATTACACACATGCTCAAAAGTGTGTGGACACTCATTCATTTAACAACTCAACATTCTTTTCTTCCTAAGAGTTGGGAGGCAGCAGACAGAATATTGTTGCAACAGTTGTGTGATAGTTCAGTGTGTGAGTTGTGTGAGTGGGTGAGCTGTATTTTTTTTAATAGATTTCAGCAGCTTCATGTGGATTTAGTCTCAGAATTAATTTCATGCAACCTCTCTGGTTTCTGATGCTTTGGGCTAATTCTTATCTGACCAGTGTATCTTGTCTCTTTCTCTGGAAAAGTACAAATGTGCCAAACATCTGAAAACTGCATTAGTGAAAATGACTTGTGATTGCTCTGACAGGAAGACACTTACTGGGATGTATTTGTTTAGAAACAGTGAAAGGACCTAGTGATCAGTACTGACCTGTGTGTTGTGTGTCTGCAGACCTGCTGCGGATGTTCTTCGACGCCTTGTACGATGAGGACGTCATTAAAGAAGAGGCCTTCTATAAGTGGGAATCAAGCAAAGACCCTGCAGAGCAGACGGGCAAAGGTGTGGCCTTGAAGTCTGTCACCGCCTTCTTCACCTGGCTCCGCGAGGCAGAGGAGGAGGAGTCCGACAAGGAATAAAAAAAATAAAAATAAAAAAAAGAGTGAACTGAATGCTGCCACGCCCCCCTTTGGCTAGGTGGTGGCTCTGCAGGCGGCTCTGGAAAGTTGTGGACAATATTGCCAGAGAGGCAGACTCAAATCAATCCTCAGTGAGGATAAATCTTTATTATTATTTTTGTTTCTTTTCATGGAGGGTGGACTTGGAAAACAATCATTTCACTCTACCCTCCACTTCTTGCTTCCTCATTATTTCCTCACCTGCTTGTCACAGCAAGTGTCCTAATCAAATAAACTTGAAAACTGATTCATCAGGATTGGTTGTTAACACGGTGTGAACTATTCCACATCACTGCGAACCTTTTTAGGCACAATAATACAAACAGACAGGCTGCTTTTCTATGGTTCTAGATAATACTGATGCCTAACATCCTATCTGATCTTCGAGAATAAACAGCAGGGCATGTGGTGTAGTGGGTTTCCCTGATACATGGGTATCATCTTGCCATAACGTGTGTTCAATCCAAACACAGCTCTTCTATCTCTTTGTCCCTTACTGGAGTGTGCAGCATGACTGAAGTGTGTTTCTATTAATTATACAGGAGACGAAATGTACATTGAACTAATCTTACTTTAATGGATGGAGTTTTTAAAGCAAAGGTTGTCTATTTTCTCTTCCTGCTTCCTAGAACTTAGAGGACAGAATGATGGAGGACTGATGTTTGACCTTTGACCTTGACTACTAGGGGGTGGTCTTAATGCTTCCTCTAAGCCATCCTCACCCATCCCCAGTAGTGAACCACACTGACTGACTCCTCATCTTTACCTCTTCTCTACTTAAACCTGAGCTGTCGTAAAGGACACTTAATGACCCCAATCACCATTAAAACTTGAAATCTACAGAAAATTGACTTGACGAAATATATAAAGTTAAAAGGAAAAAAAAAACAACACAGAAACGATCCGAAAGCCTTTTCTACTTTAAGTGGAAATTAATTTCAGGAGCGTTCTGTAAATATATAATAATAAACCTTTTTTTTTTTTTTCCAGTTTTATTTTTCAGAAACAATAAATTGCTGATATAATTGCAGTGTATCTCTTTTCCAACAGCAGTTGTCCAGATGCAGAGGTGCTTTAGATAATCCATTGATTATTAGTTTTATTCGAATTTTGTAAATATTTTTTTGCTTTCTTTATTTAAGAAATTATTGCTTCTTTTGCATCTGAAACTGGAAAGATGAGGTAACGGACATTGCAAATAAAGGACTTATTAAGTTGCAGAGCAGAGTTTTGTACAAGTCTTTTTGAAACATGTTATGTGTCCCAGTTATTTACCTTTTTGTTGCAGAATTACGCAAAAACTAGGAAGGATGTGACATGGGCCTAGAATGAACCCTTCAAATTTAAATAGAACCGGACAAAGTGGCAGCTCAAAAAATTTCACTTTCTCTACTAACTCTTTTCTACAACCTTTTTTGCGAATTTCTCAGAATAATTCATGGACCTTTGTCACAACATAAATAAAAATCAGGCATGTGTAGGGGACTGACAAGTGTGCAATTTGGTGCTGACCTAGAAAACAAAGGGCTCTCTACCATGTATTGTCATTTATATAGAAATATGCCGAAGTGACCGAAATATCAAAGAAGAATCGGTTTGAGAAAATATACCCTCGTCATTTCGCTTTGCACAGGTGCCTGTTTTCTCAGTGTCACACACTCGAACCACACACAGTGGATTTGGTGGCGTCAGCAGCCCCCATATAGGTCCGGGGACCCAGGGTTGATGGTTGAATGGATGTGGGACATATAATTGACCCCTCTTTGTAAATTGTGGACCCTGATAGAAAAAACTGGATTAGCCACCGACTGCAGGTTTTGAATCAGACATTCAGATTTGTTTCTGATTTATCCTCTTTCCCCAGACCACAGCAGATGATGAGCCGCCCTGCATGCGTCCTGTTAAATGTGTTTCCAAATATCTGCGGATGGGGATGAGTGGAATTAAATCCAACATGACGTGTAGGAGCTGCAGTGTTTCCTCAGAGCAGCAGTGAGATCTAGATGTTGACTGCAGGAGGAGGAGATGTGAGGATGTGAGACCGCCTCACGTTGATGACGCGCGCCATCGGGAGACATTTGGATCGAGTCTGTGCACAACCCGCATACACCAAGCAACAAATGGTGCGTCTGTGCCGTGGATGTGATGCTGGAGTCCGGAGGATGTGATGGACGAGAGGCGCTGAGGCTGCACCGCAGAGCCCGCAGCAGGAGCACGAGCCGCGCGCTGTCATCTGTTGATCGGATTGGAGAAAGAATTAAGCGCATTATCATGAGCCGCCGCGGTCCCGCTTACAGGTAGGTGCCGCGCGTAATCGGGCTACAGCCGCGGGTGCATGTGGTGGGGGGAGGACGGGGGCCGTGCACGGTTGTGTCGTGCGTGAGGTTGAGCCGATGCTGGGATGCAGATGCAGACTTCACAGGTTGCCAGGAGACGCGCTGCTGCATCGTGCGTTATTCTCCCCTCAGTAATGACTGCAGCCCACAGGCCTTCATCATTCGATGACCGGATGATGTGTCATTCCACCGCTTCTGTTGCTTCAGTGCATCATTTCCAAAATAACAACAGCAACTCATCGCAACAACGATGAAGCTCCATCCATCCATCTCTCTATCCAAACATCCACCTTTACGTCCATCCATCCATTCACACACATCCATACACCGATGCATGAGGCTCAGGCTGCCGACACACTGGCTCAACTCGCTCCCACTTGTTGGTCCTGCATGGTGAAGGTCTCCTCCTCCCAGCTGCAGCTCTGGGGAAGTCATAGGAGCAGGCATCACTCCAGTCAGACATGTTCAGTAACATCATGGGGCCACAATTCACACAGAGGGGCCAATTAGTCCAACATCCACATGTACAGTTCCTGATTCAGTGAGGTTCCCATTTAAGTCCTTCATTGTTTACTGTTAGATCTGCAGCTTTGAACAAAGACACACATCAGTGAATATGTATTTAGAAAATTGATTCTTGTTCAAACACATTGTTTACTGCTATTTATTATCAGTGTTTTAATAAGAGACCATGTTTATAATTTTTTTTTTTAAATGACTGACAGAACAGGGGCACTTCAGGGTCCCTGGTCCGGCCCTGGATCTGACTGACGACCTGACTTTATACTTTATATATTTGTTTCTTGGAGTTAATCTGTTTCCATGTCACTTTTTTTTGCAGAACATTATTTTAATCACTTGTGACTTACTGTGTATACTGTGTTCTGAACAGTGGTTCTCACCCTGGCGGGGGCCCTGTAGCACATTCCTGCTACAGAAAAGAGGACACAGACAGATAAAGTTAGGCGAGTCCACGCTGCTGCTGCTGACTGACCTATGACCTGATTCTGGCCACATTTGTTGCAGTTGTGAGGAGTCAGAACTCTTGTCTCCTTCACCTGGTTGTGACTGAGAAATTTAAAAGGCGACCATCTGTGGTGCTGCGGTCAGAGTGCAGAGCTCCACATGCTCGACACGTGTTGCACTCATGTGTTTAGCATGAGTGACATCTGTTCGTGCCCGTGTCGTGCAGCCCTGAAGCTCTCCTCCTCGACAGAGCATCAGAAATTCGGTTCACTCCTTCATATCGCAGCCTCCCTGGTCGTCTACCTGCAGCTTTCTGCCTCTGACACACATACACTGTACTTTTTGACTTTCATCATAAGCCTTCCATCACAGGAGCCTCTTCTCTCTTAGCTGCTTTAGGAGCAAATCTGCTTAAGGATATCGTCAAGTAATGCACACGCTCAGAGTTCGTCCTTGTTGTAAGACTCTCCTGCCCTGAAAACAAAAGATGTTTTAAAGGTCCAGTGTGTAAGATTTAGGTGAAAGGGAATTATTGGCAGAAATTTAATGTAGAATAATCCTCATGATGTTTTCACTCGTTCATTTCATCTAAATTGTATGAATTGTAGTTTTCTTTACCCCAGAAAAGTTCCTTTATATTTAAATACTTTATGTTTACATGGAGGGGACCCTCTCTACGGAGGCCGCCATGTTTTTTACATTAGTGCAGACTGGACAAACTAAACACCTTTTGAGTTTTTGTAACAACTGAAGCTACCACAGGTTCTTTATCATGTTTGGAAGGAGAGGGTGAGGTGAGGGGTGTTCAGCTGCAACATGCAACTTCACCACTAGATATCACAACATTCTACACACTGTACCTTTAATAGAGTCAGATCAATATGGATTTTCTGGGGCTACTAAAAAAAACATTTTCACTATCAAAATATAGATTTAAAAAAAGCCATTCATTGGTAAGATGTTGTTATCAAACCTACATTAACTTTCTATGAGACAGAAACTTAATTGAGGCTCGATATTTCACAGTTTAACCATAACATGTATCATAAATACATATAAAGAAAAAGAAAACACTAATTCTATGTAGAATACAAACATATAAATGTGCATAATTTCTGCAGTGTTTATTCTGTAAATTCAAACTTTTCATATCGCCTCATGTCAGCAAACATGGACGCTGATACCGATATCTGTGTCACATTGGCCGATAAATCGGTCAGGCCCCTGTCGTACTGGCACAGATTCCCCCGAACCACGAGATCTGCCATGTGTGCGGTCATATGTGCATTTGATTAAGAAATGCAGTTTTCAGTTAGGCGGTGCTATCACTTTTGATAAGGATCAGCAGCTTTGGGGTTGAGGCAGTTCGGGCTCGAGCCGCTTAGCAGGAGCTGGTCACCTGCCATGTGTTTGCCCGGTTGCATTGAGAATCACACCACTGCCCTCCTCACCTTCAACCACCCGGATCATTTTAACTGGTTTCACCGGCTTACCGTGGCTTTAGCATCTGTGCGGTAAATTTAGGGCATGGCTGTTTGCTTGTCTGCTCGTCTGCCCGGTGGTTTAAACCGGTAAACCGAAGCTGGGACTGTCAGTTGTGTTGGTGCAGTGTTCTGCGTCTTCCACGATGAGGCCGAGGTCCAGGAGTAGAGAAAGAAGGGAGAGACCGAGGGAGGACGAGGTAGGACAGAGTCTGTCTTGAATGATCTGTTCTCTTGGCCCGTGTTAAAGCTCTGGAGCTACTTCAGAATGATTCCTTGTCATTAATAAGTCCGCCTCAAACAGTTCTACAACATACTGTCACTTTTTTTTGGTTTGTGTGCAGAGCTTTTTATAAACAGTCTATGGTGCAGAGTGAAGTTAGAAAACTTTGTGTTCATCCTACCTGGTTTATCTGCAGTGGAGATTTTACAGTCAAGTGTTTGTCTTAATTACTGTTCATGTGTGTGGCTTATATGTCAGTTTAAATTATTTACTGAGCTGGTGATATTTTTCATACATTGGATGTCAGCTATGTCCGAGGTCTGCTAAGCAGGCACACAATCTTCAGACCCAAGTTCACAACCTTTCAAAATAAAAGCTTGTAGCTCAGCTCGACATAGAGCATGGCAGCAACAGTATGATATGGTGAAACAAAAGAGAAAACAAATGATCAAGTGTGAATCTGAGAAAATTTCCAAGATATACATTCGACATAAAGACGAACAGACATTTGTGGAGTTAGCAGTTAGAAACTGTAAATATGAGTTTGAGATTTTTATTTAGACGGAAGGCTATTAGAATTTTTGCGAAAAATGGGAAACAGTGAATATTGGCAAAACTGAAATGACCGGGTGGTTCTGACACAATCACAGACAGACATTAAACAAAGCTTATTTTCTTCTTTCATGCACTGGTGCAAAAGCATAAAATCGAATCTTTCTTGCAGGTGAAATTTGAGGAGAGTGAAATGATCCCAAAGTCCGGAAAATCTCCAGCAGACTCACGGAAAAGTGTCGGCATCCATGAGTTTGCAGCTCTCGCCAGATCCTCCTTAAATGGTGACAACCTTTTTAAAAAAATGTTTTGCTTTAACACAAATCTCTTTTATCATCTTGACTTTCCAACTTCTGTCGTCCGCCTCTGCGTCTCTGTGTCGCCTCCAGGCATCTCGCAGGCAGTGAGGGACCATGTGACGAAGCCCACCTCCCTGGCTCAGGGCCGGGTTGCCCACCTCATAGAGTGGAAAGGTTGGCCCAGACCTGCGGACCCCCTGCCGGCCGCCCACTCCCAGTTCAGCTCCTATTGCCATCTGACTGAAGGAGAGAAGGAGGCCCGCTTTGCTGCAGGTATTTACTCAAGTGACCTCTACCGTCCCTCAGGATATGTTCCTCGTTCTCTTCATGTGGCAAGATACAGCTGGTGTCTGCGCAGGACGTACATGTGTGGGCATGTGTGTCGTACTAAGCTTGGGTTAGCCCCAGCATCATCTTCAGCTCCCACCTTCTGTCATGCACCTAATCCCCTAAAACCCCTGTCCGTCAACGCCCCGCCCTCTGCGCTGTCTCCTGGGTGACGGCTGGTCTTGGCAGCAGATGGTGGCCTATTAGACAATCTCCCAAAACACTTCACTGCCCACCAATGGTTGCAGCTCCTGTTGTTCTGGTGTGACTCATCGTCTCTGGCGCCAGTGACATCGGCGTGGTTTGATCAAGGGAGAGGGAGGGAGAGTGGGGGGGGGGCAGGGTACATTGTGACGTCTGTATCTTTTTATTCTCAAACCCTTATCGACTCTGAAATGAAGACATGTTTTCTTGCTTTCTAGATTTCATAAAAGCTTAGGACTCGAGCCGACACAATGAGTCATACATCAGAACATTGACGGGAATTTTTTTTTTTTT